CGCGCGCTGCACCTTTCTCGCGCAGGGGGTGTGAAAAAACACCCCCCTGAGCGCAGCAAGTTTCCGTGCCGGTGTAGACAGGGCATCAGTGCTGGGAGCTGTGCCTCTCGTGAAGGTGGTATTTTTAGAGCGCTGGGAGAGTGCTGCACCGCGACCACACAAGGCACATTAAAGCGCTGCTAGTGTAGACTAGCCCTAAAATGATGGAAGAATTCTTCTGTTGATCTAGCTGTGTTTACAGTGGGAGTTAGGTCACCCTAACTACAGTGATCAGGGTGTGAAATTTTTCACAGCCCAATGCGACATAGCTAGGTTGATCTAAGTTTTAAGTTTAGATCAGGCTGTGTCTTTAAAAACAAACAGTACTTTTGGACTAGTTGCTAAAATGACCAAGTGTTTAGAAGCTTGTCTAGCAGCTGTTTGAGTTTTATTCTTAAACCCCAACAGGTTAAGGACTATTGATGACCCTCTGGTAAGGGCTGTACCCAGAAGACTCCTTTGCCATGAATTGGGGGCAGTGGTCTAAATAAACATGATTCTGAGTTTATAAAATCAAGTAAGCTTTAATTTTCCAAAGCAGATTTATAACTCAATGTTTTGCTTTTTTCTTAAAGATATCCTCTGCAGCATGTGGCTATGGCTTCACGCTAATATCCTCAAAAACCACTGACATTACCAAAGTTTGGGGCATGGGGCTGAACAAGGATTCTCAGCTTGGCTTTCAGAGAAGCAGGAAGGATCAAAGTAAGCATCTCAGTTCTTGTAGGGATTTGAGGGGTCATAAATAAGCTATTGGAAAACATTACGGATGTTTCTAGAAGTCTAAATCCCAAGGGAGTTGGGTGACCTTTAAGACAGACTGTCCTAGGCATTTCCTGGGGGTGGAGAGCCAGTGGGGATGGGTAGGAGACTATGATTGAGTTGCAGTGTTGGTGGCTGAGAGGGTTTTTGAGAATTGTCGTGTAAAGAATTTATAGTTCCGTCCATGGAGTGGTTTTAAAAATGTATTTTGTATTTGTAGTGTACCAGCCCAAACCCATTTTGGGCAAACCCATCAGCTAGGAAAATGTCTTTGCTACCACACGTTAGGTACATATCTGGTGGTCATCGCCAGAGTGGATGTAGATGCTGGAAGTGGTGCAGTATCTCTGTGTCATGTAATGTTTTAACATTACTGGGCATCCATATGTTATCATAAAATCACAGAAAGGGCCTTAACTCATGGAAACATACTTTAATTTTGCCTGAAATTGGCAGACAGCTTCTAAATACAATTGAGAATGCAACTATGTACTCAAAATAGTACTGCTTTGGAAGGTTTGGTAAATATTTAGCCCCAGATGATATATTGTGTGCATGTTTCTCATACTTTTTTTGCCTTTCGGTAAAGCAAAAGTCTAGTCATATGACAGTATGAGCTTGTCATTATTAGGAGAATGATCTGATTTAATAAAAGCTTTTTCTTTCTGCTGTTTTTATGAAATTATGCAGACAAGACCCCCTACTCTCTAATTAGAAAGCATATTTTTGATGTTATCTGCCTGGCCAGAGATGAAAGTCTAAAGCACACATGGTACAATTGTAATGCTCTTCTTACTAGCACTGAATACAATGACAATACGTGTAAACGTCTTATAATTGTCGGAGAATAACAGAGTTCTCACTTTTTGTTTGGGTACAGCAAGTCAGCTTGCACATATTACAGTAATGACTCTTAATGGAAGGGCTGTAGAATGTCTTGTATGACTATATTGTGTGAGTAACAAAGTATAACCGGGTACTCCTATGTAACTCCTACATCTGACTATTAGCTACTGAATGTCTAATGTAACACCCCTTCATGCTATATTTACTCACAGAAATAGTCACAGTAATTTGCAGGTAGTTGAAACATGTTTATTCCCCCTCAGAATCTGTGTCGGGTGTGTTCAGTACTCTGTTGCTACACTCGTCACTGTCACAGTTGCATGCATTGGAGCACATGAAATCTTCCCTGTGGCCTTTGCACCTCCTTGTTGCACAGGTACTCTCACAGCTACACTGCCCAAAAGTAAGGATGGCTTCTGGTGCAGGTGGCAGCACCATCATTTTAGGAACAAGGTGTCCTGGGCTAGTTATCAGTCATCCATTGTTGACGGGACACATGAAGATACTGTACTGTTGCATGAGCCTGACTGATAATTTGCACATTGTTGATGGCAGTTTCTCGCTGGTTTTGTTCTTAGCAAACAACTCATAGCACACATTATCAGAGATGCTTGCTTCTTACCACCGGAAAATAAAAATACCTGTGAGACGTAGGCTGCTGACTGAAAAAAACGCAGTTGGGTTGCTCTGCAGTTACCTACCTTCAAATCTTGCTAGTGCTACTGAGCAAAGGCTGCTTGATTCAGCTACTGCTTAGTTCTTCATTAACTCTCTAGTTACATCAGGTCTGTCCATGCCCTGAATTCAAAGTGGTAGGGCCTAATGTATAAATCACCACCAGGCAGAGATGTGGTTCCCTCCTAGACTGTTGTATCGTCTTTGAGGTGTGATCAGATCTGAGTGTGTCTGCCCAGTGTAGGTAATCGGAGCAGGCAGATCAATGACAGCAGGCAGGTAGGTTACTGAAACACAAGCTGATATTTCATGCTTGTTCTTGGGATGGAAAGAAATCACTTTTGCACAAAGCTAGGGGGAAATTAGCAGTGTGCACAATGAACGTATCTGACTAGCCTTCCCCGGAGCTGGCCAACCCATAGCTTCAACCCCAAGAATCCAAACATTAGCAGATTTTCACTTTGGTTTTACAAAGTGGTGCTCCTGTGAGCAAGACCGGCATCGCCAACAGGTGCCAGAGACGCACACAGGCTGCAGTAGCATTGCTGTTTAAGGGTAAACTTTCAAAGTTCATAGAGTCAGATTGGCTTGGAAATTTGTATGCTAGTAGAAGGCCTTGGGTACCATTTGCGGTGCAAATTTAAGGTCATGGTTAAGGGACTATCCAGCTCCCTTCCTCTCCCAGCAAATGAGCTGTGTTTAACTGTAAAGTGCTCTAACTTGCAAACGCAGAGCCAGATTGGCTTGAGAACTGCTCTGCCAGGTGAAGACCAGGAGTAGTATCTGGGCTACAATTCTGGGGTCCCTTGGTGACTAGAGCCAGCGCTTCCCCTGATCTGTTTTTACAATGGGTCAAACTCCTCTGAGAACTCCAGCATTTGGAGCGACAGATAGCGCCGATGGAGCAGGCATGCAGTGGTGAGCTGGAGAGTGCCTCTAGCACGAACTGAGCACACTCAAAGTGGAATTTGGGGAGCTAAGAATGGGTACACTCACTCCACACCATGGGCACACATAGCTAGACCTATAAAGGGACTTGGGTGCCTAAATCCCAGGTTTAGGCACCACCGCAATTCTCACAACCCCTGCACAGCTGCTTCCCAATCCTGTAGGTGCCTAAGTTTTTGCTCTAAAAATTCCCAAGCCACCTGCCTTTCTTTCTCTGTGCACATGAACATAAGAATGGACATACTGGGTCAGACCAAAGGTCCATCTAACTCACTCTCCTGATTTCTGACAGTGGCCAATGCCAGGTGCCCCAGAGGGAATGAACAGAACAGGTAATCATCAAGTGATCCATCCCCTGTCACTCATTCCCAGCTTCTGGCAAACAGAGGCTAGGGACACCATCCTGCCTAATAGTCATTGATGAACCTATCCTCCATGAACGTATCTAGTTCTTTTTTGAACCCTGCTATAGTCTTGACCTTCACAACATCCTCTGGCAAAGAGTCCCACAGGTTGACTGTGCGTTGTGTGAAGAAATACTTCCTTTTGTTTTTAAACCTGCTGCCTATTAATTTCATTTGGTGACCCCCTAGTTCATGTTATGTAAAGGGGTAAATAACACTTCCTAATTTACTTTCTCCACACCTGCCATGATTTTATAGACCTCTATCATATCTCCCTTTAGTGGTCTCTTTTCCAAGCTGAAAAGTCCCAGTCTTTTTAATCTCTCTTCATATGGAAGCTGTTCCATACCCCAGATCATTTTTGTTGCCCTTTTCTGAACCTTTTCCAATTTCAGTATCTTTTTTGAGATGGGGTGACCACATCTGCATGTAGTATTCAATATGTAGACATACAATGGATTTGTATAGTGGCAATATGATATTGTCTGTCTTCTTATCTCTCCCTTTCTTAATGGTTCCCAACGTTCTTTTCGCCTTTTTGACTGCTGCTGCACATTCGATGTTTTCAGAGAACTATCTGCAATGACACCAAGATCTTTCTTGAGTGGTAACAGCTAATTTAGACCCCCCCCCCCCATTTTATATGTATAGTTGGGATTATGTTTTCCACTGTGCATTACTTTGCATTTATCAAGATTGAATTTCATCTGTGATTTTGTTGCCCAGTCACACAGTTTTGTGAGATCTCTTTGTAGTCTGTTTTGGACTCAACTATTTTGAGTAATTTTGTATCATCTGCAAATTTTGCCACCTCACAGTTTACCTCTTTTCCCAGATCATTTATGAATATGCTGAACTGTACTGGTCCCAGTACAGACCCCTAGGGGATGCCACTATTTACCTCTCTCCATTCTGAGAGTTGACCATTTATTCCTACTCTTTGTTTCCTATCTTTTAGCCAGTTACTGATCCGTGAGAGAACCTTTCCTCTTCCCCTATGATCCTCATGCCTAAGCCCCAGCATGATTCTCAAGCCATTATCTTCCCTTGGGGGCTCAATTGGGTAGGCACCTAATACCACACAAGGCAGTTGTGGAGGCCTCCTTTATAATGTTTAGCTTAATGGTTAGGGTACTCACTTGGGATCTGGCAGAGCCTGGGTCAGTTTCCTCTCATGGAGGAGCTGGGATTTGAACAGCGATCTGTCACTTCTTCTTAGATGAGTGTTCTCAGCGGAGGTGCCACTCCCTCCTGACTTTTACCCACTGGTTAGGGCACTCACCTGGGGTGGGGGTGAGTCTACCGACTGAGAAGGGATGTGAATAGGGATCTGCTGTCTCGCAAGTGCATGCCCTGAGTGCTGAACGAAGGGATCTTGTGATGTGGGTTGCTCTTCTTCTCTTGTTGATGCTGGGCCACTTTAATGAAATAATTACACAGCAGTTGGGCCATGGCTAGCTAGTCTCAGGAATGCTCTATAGCCCAGTGGTTTGGGTTGTTGCTCAGGAGGTGGGAGTTGAGGTTCAATTCCCCCTCTGCCAGCCTGGTGGGATGTCAACAGCCATCTCCTAAGTGCTGGGCTAGGTTCAGTCCTGGGGTGGGGCTCCCTCAGGCTTTCCTCTTGAAGCCGTTCCACTTTAATTAGCAATTAATTGGGCCAAAGAAAGAGTAAATGCTGAGCTGTCCTTTATAGTGTAGAGGTTTGCTTACTAAGCTGTGCTGCTGGGGATGGAGTGATCCTTAGTGCAGTGATGAGGACACTCACTTGACAGATGCCTGTTGAAATCCCTTCTCCTCAGGCACCCGGGGGAATTACACCAGCCTGGCTGAGTATCCAAACTGCCAAGCTACAGGTTTCACAGGTGGCCTCTGCCTCCTTTCCCTCTCCCTCAGCTGGTTTGGGGAGAGGGGGCGCATTATGCTGGTAACTAAAAGTTTTTCTTTTTTTTAAAGAAACAGTCTAGGCACCTAACTCACTCAATTCCATCTTCAAATGCTTCCAGGCATGTTCAAGCTTTTTCTGAGATGAAAAGAACAGGAGTACTTGTGGCACCTTAGAGACTAACAAATTTATTAGTGCATAAGCTTTCGTGGGCTACTGCCCACTTCTTCGGATGCATACATATATGGGCAGTAGCCCACGAAAGCTTATGCGCTAATAAATTTGTTAGTCTCTAAGGTGCCACAAGTACTCCTGTTCTTTTTGCGGATACAGACTAACACGGCTGCTACTCTGAAACCTGTCTGAGATGAGTCTCTTCTCATCTTCTGGGAAAACATAATTGTTCGTGGAATCGTCAAGTACCCTCCGTTTCATTGGTTCATTGCCTCATTCATAAGTTTGTGGATTCTAATGCCATAGTTCTATGCTTTCCCATTTGGAGCATGGCTGATGACTGAAGCACCCCAGTCTGAGACGTCACAGTTAGGAATCTTTCTCTTGAAATTTAGCCTAAATTTCCCTTGCTTAACTTCATCCCATTACTTCTAGTTATGCCTCAGTGACCACACCTAATGATTCTTCTCCATCCTTGGTAATTACGTCCTTCAATTTTTTAGCCTCTCATATCTCTTCTCATCCTCTCTCTCCTGCCGCCCCCCCCACCCCCCCCCCAGCCAACTCTAGAGCAAGCTATAAATATTTAGCCCTCTTACTCTTTCCAGCTATCTGATCACTTTGGTTGCTCTTCTTTGCTGGTATAGCTTTGCTGACAGAGCCCCCTAGTGGAGGCCGAAAGTGTGTATTTTTTTTTTTTGCTGGCCTAGCTACATCATCTCCCTGAACAATATTCACTAAACCGTCAGTAGCACTGTTCTGCTGGCAGGTGTGTCTACACCATGGGTTTTGCCAGCAAAGTTATACTGACCAGGGCATGTGACTTATTGTTCCCCGCCCTCCCCCCCCCGACACACACTTTTAGCTGACGTAACTGTAATGCTGCCTGTAGTGGCTCAAGAGTGGGAGCACCGACCTCAGGGCAGACTGTTAGGAACCAGGACACAAGCCACAGATTGGTTGTGACTTATAGACGTAGATTTCACCAATCAATTGTCAAGTGTAAACTCCTCAAGCTCTAGAACAGCCTTAACTTGGAGTCACAGGCAGTCTCCTTGGTACTCTGATCTATTTTGCTACCCATGTGAGCGTGTCTCTGTGATAGATGGTTCCTTACAGCAAGGATCACAGCAATATTCAGGTTACTCCCAGTCCCAAAGGACCAGTCTCTTACCCCAGGTCACCTGCACCTTAGATCTCACACTTCTGGCTGACCTGGCTTTGTAGTGTAGTTTAAGTCTCAGAACTCCCTCCAGCCTGTCAGTATCTTTCTGGTATTGAGATGCTGATGTGGCCGCATTAGAGCGGGATAGAATGGCTATTTCCCGGTGAAACCTGCCTCCGTGTAGGCAGTCCCCTGTATTGCATTTCCAGCTCCCTCCAGTCACTAAGATCCAGATTGTTGATACCTACAAAGAGGGTACCGGGCCGCACAAGAGATCCTAATCAATCAGTGGGATGACTTGTGGCGTAAGGTACTTCTACTCACTGCGTGTAAAGCTATCTTAGTGTGATATTAAGGGAGCCATTTTCCTTCTAGTATAATTTCTTCCTTTGATACATTTGTAAAAGCTCTTCATCTCCCTTTAACCTTTTGTCTAGCACTAATTATATTTTGCTTTTTTGCTGCTTTTTTCTTTTCCCTGATGGCCTTAACTAATTGTATATTCTGAGTTACCAACGCTTTCATTTCTAGTACAATATTTAAAAAAACCTTTACATCTTTGATCCCTTGTGAAGCCACATTTGCTGCTGTTTGTTCCTTGCATTCCTTTTTCTGAGAAGAATTTTAATCTGCTGTGCTTTAAGTATGGCGTCATGAGGCTCCCTATTCACCTTCCACACTGACTTGGAATGTTTTCTCCCGTTGTGCCAGAGTCTCAAAGCCCCCAGTTCAGCAAAGTAGGTAAGCACATGCTTAACTTCAAGCTCGTCAGTAATCCATCCAACATGCTTAACTGCTTTGCTGAAACGAAATTTTCAAATTCCCTGAATGTGGCCACCTAAAATCTAATGCCACCAAACTCCTGCATTCTGTGAATTGCTTACTGAGCAGAATCCAGTGCTTGCTGTTTCCAAGCCTTCCCTATTGGCAATTAGTATGAGAGAGATCCAGGTCACCCCTTGACTCTGGTTAGGATCTTTGCTTTCTGGATCATAAATTGTCTTTTCCCTATCCTAGGAACCTGTTCGGCAATGTGTGTTTATAAATACGATCCGCCAGCAAACACATACCAAGTTCACTTTGTAGAAGTTGTTAATTTCTGATTTGTCTGTTCCTTCTTAAAGCTAAAGGCTATGAGTATGTCTTGGAACCGTCTCCCATTCCATTACCACTGGACACTCCCCAGGAGACTCGGATCTTGCAGGTGTCTTGTGGGAGAGCTCATTCCCTCATCCTGACGGACAAGGAAGGAGGTACAGTATCACTTAGAGTGGTGGCAAGGGACAACAGATTGCTCAAGTCTTTTTCTTTTTTCTTTCCTTAAAAGCTGAACCCAAACCTCCCTGTATAAATATGGCACATGGAAGTGGTTTTTCAACCTTTAAAGCAGGATTGTTCAGTGGAGGGAAAGCTCTAAGCTTAAATCTTCTTCACCTTCTGCGTTCCATCTGGCACAAGCTGTAGATGTTTTTGTACTGCAAGTACATCTCTACCCTGATATAACACGAATTCGGATATAACACGGTAAAGCAGCGCTCTGGGGGGACGGGGCTGCGCGCTCTGGCGGATCAAAGCAAGTTCGATATAACACGGTTAGATTTTTTTGGCTCCCGAGGACAGCGTTATATCGGGGTAGAGGTGTATTCTAAAATATGGTTTGTCTGTCTAGCCCTGGGGCTTGTTAAGTGTAGGGTATTTGTCTTTTTCAGCTGGATGTATTTTCTAATTCAGGTTTCGGACAGCTATGCCAATACCTTATGGCATTTTCTTTGTGAAACCTCTAAGTGCTACTTGTCTGGGTAGAATGTTGCATTCATAAAGGTAATGAATTAATATGCCTATATATAGAGGAACCCCTGTGTTGACTGGCTCTCAACTGCCCCAAGAATTCTTTAGCACACCAACTTCAGCGCAATATTTAGCATCCCAGTACAGCTGTTGATCCCTGGGAGAATTGATCACTTGATTTAGTGCTTCGGTGGAAATGCTGATCTTATTTCTAAATCTCCTAGGCAACAGTGGAATGAGCTAGTCAATTATGGAGGAATGGCCACTAGCCTCCAGGTACCAGTACAGTGCATATGACATTACTGCTTAGATATTGTTGCCTGAAATGTCTTGAATCTCTCATATTTAGGTGAACTCTGGTGAGAAGGTTCAAGATCATCTTGTGGGTGCTTGAGAGCAAAGCATTTTGGGTGTATGTCAGGATTTTGCAGGCCGTGTTGCAGTTAGGAGCCAACATCTGTGAGAGAACAAATGCTTGATATTAACTCAAATAGCTAAATGGAAGTCACATGAATGCAATCATTATTTTTCAGTCTTCAGCATGGGCAACAATTCCTATGGGCAGTGTGGCCGAAAAGTTACTGAAGGTGAAATTTACAGGTGAGAATACCCCTCCAAATTCATACCCTTTATTTTTGCATAACAGAATATCTCATATAATTAATTTTCAATTGGAGCTAGGTGGAGCAAGATGACTGTGAAAGGACATTGCCCAAGGTTTAGGTGTCCAAAAACTAACCATTCATGCCTGGGAGGTCTAACCCTCCACCGGGACTGTGGGTAAAGCCTCATAGGGCCCGAGCACTGTGGGGTCACCATGCACTTGAGATCTAAAAAAGGCATAACCAGTTGGCTTCCTTTTCCACAGACGTTAGCAAGAAAATACCAAGTTACGTAAACGGTTCAAGACCAGTGTGATTTGCAGCCAGTTTTCAATCTTTAGCCTTCTAGATGGTGATAGTGCCCAGGTGTGTAGAAACCGCATTTGAGCCTGAACAACAAGCCCTTGTACAGCACAGTCTGAATCTGTAGCTGGGGAAGGAGCAGTAGTAATAGGCACTTAGTTAGGGCTCTATGATGTGAAACATACCATGCAGACAGTAATTCTCCAAACAACCCTGTGAGGGGAGGGCAGTATTGTTATTCCTCCGTATGTGGCCAGGGAGACAGAGAGCCAAAGGGACTCACTCACGGTCACAGGTGCTGTGGTAGAGCATGGACTAGAACTCAGCAGCTGCTGGTGTCTAATTCTGTGCTTAATCCACAAAGTAACGTGCTCTCTGTAAACGTAAGGAAGCCTAATCAGTATTTTAGCTTGTTGCTCTTTGATGCCTTCGTGCTGCAAAGTGGTCATTTCCCAGCGTTAGATGGTAACCATACTTCACTGGTACTTAAAATTCTCTTCACCAGCTGTGACAGAACCAAAATCGACCTTGCCTTGCTTGGCTCCTCAGTTGAGACTATGGGTACGTCTATACTTACCTCCGGGTCCGGCGGTAAGCAATCGATCTTCTGGGATCGATCCCGGAAGTGCTCGCCGTCGACGCCGGTACTCCTGCTCCGCGAGAGGAGTACGCGGAGTCGACGGGGGAGCCTGCCTGCCGCGTCTGGACCCGTGGTAAGTTCGAACTAAGGTACCTCGACTTCAGCTACGTTATTAACGTAGCTGAAGTTGCGTATCTTAGTTCGAAGTGGGGGGTTAGTGTGGACCAGGCCTATCACTCTCTACTCTTACAGATCTATTTTCTTTACTTTTATACTCCTTTCCCCAGTGGAGGTTTTTAGTACAGCTTTTCTCCATCCCTACTAATGTAGTGCCAGGTAATGTACTGTGAGAACAGGTAGACTAGTGCTAAATTAATCTAGTGGTATTGGGTATAATCTAGGGACTGGAATCAGGATCTCCTGAGAGAAAAGTCCCATCTCTACCAAGTAGAACTCCTGTTGCTTTAGACTAGTCACTTAAACTAATCTATAAAAAGGGGAAATAATTTCCCTCCCTTCAGAAGATGGAAAGTGCTCTATAGTGTTAAGTGTTCTGAGTACATGGGGAAAGGAAGTCTTCACCAGATGTTTTGCAAAGTCTTCATCAGGTTTCCTTCCCCACTCTGAACTCTGGGGTACAGATGTGGGGACCTGCATGAAAGACTTATTTTTATCAGCTTAGGTTAAAACTTTCCCAAGAACAAGGTGGAAATTGTGCCTTGAACAGTACGCTGCTACCACCAAGTGACTTAGACAAAGAATCAGGGAAAGGACCACTTGGAGTCCTATTTCCACCCCCTTCTCCCCCCCCAAGCCCTGCACCCCCTTTCCTAGGGAAGGCTTGAGAACAATATCCTCACCAGTTGGTATGGGTGAACACAGACCCAAACCCTTGGATCTTAAGAACAATGAAAAAATCAATCCGGTTTTTAGAAGAAGAATTTTAATTAAAGAAAAGGTAAAAGAATCACCTCTGTAAAATCAGGATGGTAAGTACTTTACAGAATAACAAAAGATTCAAAAACACAGAGGATTTCCCCTCTAGGCAAAACTTTAGAGTTACAAAACCAGGGATAAACCTCCCTCTTAGCACGGGGAAAATTCACAAGCTAAAACAAAAGATAATCTAACGCATTTCTTTGCTATTACTTACTATTTCTGCAATACTAGATGCTTAGTCCAGATATGTTTAAGGAGATGTATTTTTCCTGCCCTGGTTCCTTACTGACTCGAAGAGAAGAGAACAAAACAAAGACAAATAAAAACCTTCCCCCAGAGATTCGAAAGTATCTTCTCCCCTTATTGGTCCTTTTGGTCAGGTGCCAACCAGGTTATCTGAGCTTCTTAACCCTTTACAGGGTAAAGAGGGATTTTATGCTACCCTTGGCTGTATGTTTATGACAGAGAGCAAGCCTCTGGAAGTTTCAGTTGCAAACCCTTGAAATCTTCACTTTGTTTTCCCTTTTCCCTTTTTCTGCTGGTGATGTAGTGAGAGCCATCTAATTCATCGACTGCAAAAGTTTAAAGGCAGGGTTGCGCAGGTAAGAGCCTTTTCTCAATTTAAAACCTGTCTGAGGATGGGGGTTGTTCAACTGATGTCTTCTGAAATGGGAAAGAGGCCCTACTGCTTGATTCTTTGTGGCTTGAGCAATTGCCCACTGCCCAGCTAGTGTGATTGACTTTGCTGCGTCTGGATACCTGGGAGGACCAAATAGGAGCAGGAAACATGAGACCTTAGTTGATGGGCACCCTCTGCTGCTGAATTTCTTTGGCTGCATTTAGGAGTATTGTCTGTTGAGAGGCCTATCCCTGACCATTTCTCAGTCATCTCGGCCTTCTCTTTTGTGTCTACTACCTCTCCTTTTACCACCATCAATTTGCAGCAGTTGGGCACTGAGACCTTTCATTTGTGAAGTCCCAAGTGCTATCCAGTGCCTTAACCATGAGACCGTTCTCCCTGTAAATTGCCAACTAGATTCCACATAAGGTCAGATTCTGGATGAGGATTTCTAGGATTGGGTGAGGCCTAATTAGCATACATGATCACCCTGCTATTTCATGCAACTGCAGTAATTACATGCACAAAGTGGTCAGTTGGCCATTTGTATGTCCATTTATCTGGATTGCATGTGTGCACTTGGGAAAATTTGGCTCATAAAATTCACCAAGTGATCGCCTAGACAGCAAGGTAACTAATCCAGACCAGTGGGGTGGGAGATTATATTTGGCCAAATTTTTCAAAAAGAAGTCCTTTAATGTTAAAAGCCTAAGTCCTCATTTAGACTCTTAAAAATCACTAGTCAGATTTTCAGGTGTGCTGAACACCTAGCAGCTCCCTGTGATATTGGGGTCAGCTCTTAGGTGCTCACTGTGCTTGTTGAAAATTTACCCAGTGATTTAGGAGTGACTTTAGGCTTTGGAAATTTTGGCCCTAACTCAGTGATACTCAGACCTCAGTGGTTCAGGAGCCAGATTAGCGATCAGCATTACCCAAGAGAGCCACAGTCGTGTGAATTCATGGTTTAATTTACTATAGTACTAGATATTCATATTTAAACAGTATGACAGGGAAATAAAATATTTTGTGTGTGTACACACACACACATATATTTTCTCTTAGCAAACAAGTTAATAATTTAGTGCAAATTGATAACTTAATTGGTTAATAATAGTAAAAGCATCCAGATTGGTTAATAATTAAATCAAACAGTGTTTTAATGTCATGTGCTGCAAAGAGCGGCAGGGGACACATTAAAGAGCCACTTGCGGTTCGCGAGGCCAGTCTGAATATCACTGGAATAGCTCATACCAATCCCGTGACAAGCGTGCTGTAGTTCTTAAGTCAAAGAATCAAATTTCATGGTGTAGCTGACATTACATGAGCCAGAAAATATCATTCTGGGGGAGGTGTTTTAGCAGTTGCGATGAGAGTTCTCTTCTATCATTCACTGATGCCATTTTATGATGTTGGGGTACTGCATGCTTGGGCCTCTCTGTTCACTGTGTTGTTTGGAATTCCACAACAAATTGGATTTCCACTTCGGGAGCGCTCACTACAGACAAAAGCCAAAATTCTACTGTGTTCACCAAGGCCAGTATTGGGATGGTTTTGACCTTCCCTCTCGCATGTGCAGCTGTTGTATTTGCTCTGGACGGAAGGCCAAAAAATTGGCAAGCTCTGGCTAAAGAGAACGGGCATGTTGAGTACAAGAGGTTCACATTCATAGGTCCGCATATGATGTCACAGTGCACGAATTCTCAACGTGATCTGACGGAGCTTTTCACTTGCCTGTAGATTGTCTGTGGGCAGGATCACAGTCTGTTCAGGACTGAGAGAGGCGAGGTTTACTCCTGTGGATGGGGAGCTGATGGACAAACAGGTAGGCCTTTCAGAAAAGTGGAAGCTGCTGTGCAGTAAATCCAAGTTTTTACTAGTACTTGCTGGAACAGTGTTTGCTCTGCTCAACTGACTGTACCACAGAATGTCAGATATTTAATAGTGGCAGCAAGTAGAGATGAGGTACATTGCACCTCACCTGTGTTAGAACATGGTTTTGTCTTGCCAGCAAAACCTGTTTGAGAATATTTCTATCTCCAGTGCATAGGTATGGGATTGCTGTATAGTGCTTGAAATAGTCATAGCGATCCCATCTCAACTGTATTGGTGAGCCTGGACATGAAACACAACATGCTTTTCTGTCCACACAGGCAAGATTAAAAATGTTATATGTACAGTATATAGACAATACTCTACATGCTCGCTTCTTTTGTGAATGAGCCGAGCCTGTTCCTTTTATTTTTGTGGGAGGTGAGGGCAGTGGAGCAGCTAGAGGGGAAGTTTGAATGTCCTCTGGCCTTGGTAAGTTTTAGGCCCTGTTTGACCTTAAGACTCCCCCCACACCCATGGTGAGACATGAGAAGTGGCAGTGGGGAAGGACTCTAGTTGGGGTGTGGTGGGTGGGTGTCTCCACCGGACCTCGATTTAAGTTACTTACAGAGTCCTTCCCCTGTTTGTGGCACACAAGGGATTTTCCAAGCAAACAAAAAGGTCCTTTTTCCTCTCCTTTCCCTGAGAGGGGGAAAATCTGCCCCTCCTTTTGGTCACCCCCACTTTGTACCTGGTCCATGCAGAATCGAGGGCATCAAGGTCTTCTATGCTGATCTGTCCCTGTAGCCAGCACTCTGAGTACAGGAACCTGCCCCCCGGTCACCACCCCTTCCTGTGGCAGGCTTTCCCAAGCTGCTTCCCTCCAGGCACCGCAAGCCTCACGCATGTGTCTGGTCAGTGCTGGCTGAGCCCAGAATTGCTCATTAGCCTCCTCTCCACTTGAGTGAGGCTGTGCCCCCTCACAGGGAGGGGTTACCTATCCAGCTCTCTATTGCCATTACCTACTGCTGCTGTCCTTGTTCCAGACTCTTCTCCTCCTCCCCCCCCCCCCAAAATCCCTCAACTTGCTCTTCTTGACTGAGACCTCCTTCCTGGCTGCTTTTGCTGTCCTAGGCAGGGAGCTGGGCCAAGGTCCTTCTCCTGATAGCTACACCTGTCTCTGGGGGCTTCTTCTGAGGCCTTCCTCTGAGTTGTTCCTGCTGCCCTCCTATTTGGCTGCATCACGCTGCCTATTGCTTCCTCTTACTGCTCTCCCCAGTTTGTCCCCCCCACTCCCAGACTAGCTTTCCATCTGGCCCCAGGCAGCCTGTCACCATATCAGCTATCCTCCAGTCCAGCCAGCCTGCCTCTTCACCTGGCCCCACCTACACTTGTGAAATATGTTGTGACCCACCTGTGTTTCTGAGGGGACAGGAAACGTAACTGATTTTAGGGATCCCATCTTAGCCTGGGTTTCGGCTGGGTTTGAAACAGCATTCGCTAACACATCTGTCTGCACAGGCAAGATAAAACCATGTTCTAACACGGGGGGGTCACAATATGTTTCACAGCCGTGTTTAAACATGGTTCTTTAGGTAGTGTGGATTGTGTCTTAGCCGCTTCTGCAGAGCAGGACCTGTTAAGTGGAAGTTGTCAGTTTGTTTGCATCTTTTCATTAGCGCGCGCGCACACACACACAGCATTAATCACAAGTGGTGTGTGAACAAATTGTTCTACAGCAGGGGGATAGGTCCCCCGGGAGCCCTAGATGTGCTGGCATGTGCATTAGCTCATGCACCTGCTGAGGTAAACGAGCGCAATGAAGCAGCGTGATGACCGGTCACATCAAGCCCCAGGAGTTGTCATGTTGAGTCATTTTAGTTTTGATCCAGGTCCTAGTCTCACTCCTGAATTGTCCAGACCCATGCTCTCAAGAAGGCTCATTTACTTTTTTCTAGGCAATTGGTCTGTGAGATGTTGTGAGGAATGGTACTTCTGTGCGGTTAGTATTGTTTCAATGTGCTCAACCCACAGGACAGGCAAACAGGTCTCTCTCCCACTCCATAGTGGCCTGTCTGGTTGATTCAGGAGGGGAGTTAATTGACTCTGGCGGGAAACCTGATTGTTTGGTGACAGCAATGAAGGACCTTTAGGGGTGTAAAGTGGGGAGGGGAAGTGGTGAATGGGAGTATGCATGCTTTACATAATCCATTGTATGTCAGCCTCACTGTTTTTAACAGCCACCCCCAAATACAGGGTGGCACGCATCAGTCTGAATTCCAAATGTGAGCAGAAAGATTCCTCTGCCTTACTTCAGAGCTGATAGTCACCAGTCAGAGGGTAGGAATTGGTTGGCTTTGTTGCAGATAGAGGAAGAACTGCTGCAACATACTTTGCTTGGGATAGTTGCATTAGCTGCTGCTGCTACTTTCCAATGCATGTTTTTGGGTGGTAGGCCTCGCTTTGGATCATTGGGTACCAAGGTAAGAAACTAACTTGTTTGCTCAACATGAAACAAGAGTGTGGGGCTGGTACTAGAATGATTCATAACAGCCCAGTCATAAGAAAAAGATCACTGGGGGGCTCACCACTGTTGACTTGAGATGGGTAAGAGGTGGTGGGCCTTTTTTAAAAAATAGCTCTGTTAGCACCAAAGCCTGGGAGATGTTGAGCACTTGCAACTCCCATTGAAAATGCAGGTGCTTAGCAACTCTTCCATAGATTAAGGCTAGACGGGACTATTGTGATCATCTACCTCCTGCATAACACAGACCATAGGGCTTCCCTGAGTTAATTCCTGTTTAACCATCCTCTTAAGATCAAGCATTTTAGTGTAGCATTATCCTGCTCTGAAATACACTGGACTGAAACAGTAGAGCATCTCCTCTACAGAGACAGACAGTGGTACCAAACTGTTTGATCTTTGTAATATACATGGTGGGTTCTTGAGTAATGCCACCAAACTGCTAGAACACAGGATTTGAGCTGTGGTCTCCACAGGGGCATGGTAGGGACTCATCACTCAGATCCTTGCTTTAGCCTTGAGATAACACGTCTCTAGAAGCAGGTGCACTTTTTTCTCTTTTTGATGTTGCTTCAAAAGTTCCAATCTTTGGATGACTTGTGTTGACTGGCACCATAAGGTACATGGTGTCTGCCTTATTTCTAATATGAACAAGTACAGCATTTCATTACAGCACGTCTCTCTCCCTCTCTCTCTCTCTCCTTGTCAGGTCTTGGCCATTACAATATCACCAGTGTGCCCACCAAATTAGGCGGAGATATTGCTGGAGTAAATATCGTACACGTTGCCACCTATGGGGACAGCTGTCTGGCTGTATCTGATGAAGGAGACCTCTTTGGGTGGGGAAACTCTGAATACTTGCAGCTGGCTTCCATCACAGAGACGACACAGGTTAGGTCAGATGTTCTAATGTTCACTTTAAATGACTTTTTAAAATGATTTTCTATCTGCAACTCACCTACTAGCCTTTGGGCACTATGTAAATAATAGTGGGGCATCTACATGCTTCATTGTAACTGTTCTGTACATGAAGCTCCAGGTGCATTTGACAACACAGTCACTGTAAAGTGACACAACTAGCAGTGTATCTTCACCCACAATTACTAAGTCCTACCATCCAGGAATAATTGTATTGCTTGTGTTAGTGTTTTGCCCTGAAAGCCCATAGTTTAGGGCTGTTTCAGGCCTGTCCTGGAGAAGGCCCTGCCAGCTTGTAAACCAAGGGTGCTCCGACTGGAGTGCCTCTTCTGTTTTTAAATTCCTAAGTCTGTCAAATGAGTTACGTCTCACTGGCCTTGAGTTTTCTGCTGTTGCTCTGTCCCCGAGGGAGAGTTGATTTAAAACTGCCTCCAACTGGAAGGCTGTATGTTGGGAATTTCAACAAGAGTCCGGCACCTAATTCCCTCCGGCAACTCTGAAACTTGCAGCCATAAAGGGTAGACACACAGCACAGGTAACTGCATTGCCTAGCAGGGGCATGTTATAGGACAACATATGAGAGTGTGGCTGTGTGGGCCCAACTTCATTGGCTATATTTTGGATGTACACTGGGGTGACTGAGAGCAGTCTCTGGCCTAATGGAGTTGCCTTGGCAAGAAGCAGAATTCCTGGACTCACTTTATTTTTGCCACTGCATGACCTTTGACAAGTCACTTGTGTGAGCTGCAGTCCCCTTCTCTCCATACGTACGACAAGGATGAGAATCAGTCTCTCAGGGATTGGATCAGTTATTGTAAAACATTTTGAAATCTGCAGATAGAGAAGTTCTAAGTGTTCAACTTACACTTTTTTTTTTCCTGTTTTATACTTGAGTTAGTCTGATGTCAGGGCTGATGGTTTCCTAGATGAGCTTAGACCCATAGCATGCATAGACGCCTTGTGATTAAATATACTTGAACATTTTAAAATATAGCTGCCAAAACCCATTAAGCATAAAATAAATTAAGCCATGTTTTTATATATAACACTGACGTCCTTTCCAACATCCCATCATTAATTTTAAGGCAGGAAATAATAGTGTCAGTCAACTTCTAATTCTGTACAAAGTCATCTCTTAAAATAGCCACATCTGATAACGTCATCGCTTAATTTTGACACTGGCTTGCTGAAATCCCCACAGAAGATGAATTGGCACTTACTGCCTGCCATAGAGTGGGGAATTCTCCTCTGTCAGATTATAAACAATCGCTGCAGGGTGACAGAAGCTCACAAACAAAGATTTTTCATTAAACCATGACTCAGTGGGCCATAAAGGCTCAGGGTGAATGTTTTATAAATCTCTTTTAAATGGGGTAGGCAATCTGTAGTGTGGACAGTCATGCTGTTAATCTGTAGTTTTTGAAAAATATTACTTGTGCAAAAAATGCATCCCTTTAATTAATCTTTTTATTAAGGTTTGAGTCTATAGCAGGGACCTGAGGCTGAGTGAATACTGCAAAAAAACCCAGAAAAGTCCAGACATTCAATTGCTTTTTAAAATTTAACTTGCTTCTGTCATCTTTGCTCCTCATGGACATTGGCTTTCTGCTGATGGCTTTTACAGAGAAGAAGGTTTGCAGAAAGCTCAGCCTCAAAGTCACGTGTGAGGTGTGTATTTTTGGCATCCAGTCAGGAAACAGAAATACTAGGTCACTTCTGAGGTAGTGTAACCTAGAGCATAGAGCACTGGACTGGGACTCAGGATACTTGGGTTCTTTTCCTGGCTCTGCTACTCGCCTGCTCGATGACTGGGCAAGGCATGTCCCGCCTCAGTTTCCCCATCAGTAAAATGGGATGACACGGACTTCCTTTGAGACCTGTTGATGAAGAGTACTTTATTATATTGAGACCAAATACTTAGAACTATTCCGTTTTTTTTTTAAATTCATCCATTTCAAATTTATTTGTAATCTGCTTTCAAATACATGAGCAAAAAGTAATCTGACAAATTTGACCTCACTCCAATTTATGGGATCCAAGGTGTGTGCTGTACGTTTGAGAGTACCAGAAGCATATGCATAGCATCCATTCCTCCCTACTGGCTCGAACACAGACTTCTACAAAAATCCCACAGGGTCATTGAGCAAATGTTTATGGTAAATAGATTTGAAATGCTGACTCAGCCTCGAATGTGGCACTGTGGTAATTAAGCAGATGTTTGCCTCGTTCAGCTCCGTGGAGAGGTCGTATTCTAATAGTTCATTAATATTCAGCTATATTTGAAGGAAAATTAAGAGCAGACCATCAAATTACTGCCATTTTAGCAAACTTTTAGTTTAGTTCCCTTTGCTAATCCTGATGTGTCCCCAGTTTAGGGATAATTATATAGTTTGAGGATGTTCGAGATAATTAATAGGCTAAATAGTGTGGGGTCAGACTGTTCCAATATGAGGCTTCCTGGAGAGGATACTGAGAATGATTGGAAATGGAGTTAGATTGCTTGGTCACCAAAGATGTGGCCTTCGAGCCAAGTCTGGGTAATGACTATTCTGGAAAAGGAAATGCTCAACTATCTAACATTCAGCATTTACACCCACTAAACTATAGGTTTTCCAATGTCTTATAAACTCTGTCACAAAAGACCTACAGGCTATGGCCTTCTGGTCTCTGGTGATTGTTTGCAAACACTCCTGTTGAGTGGCTAGCTTCCGTGTCATATCTAGTTCTTCAGCTCTGGGATGACTGGATTCCTTTAGGTATGCACCCCTTAAAAGTTTTGTAGTTCAAGATGGATTATTTCAGCTTTGCCACTTTCCCCAATCAGTTGTCTTCTCCTTCGGCCTCATTCAACTGAACATAGTTCATTTTCCAGCTGTGGGATCACATACACCATGACCTCAGTCCAGCATCCATAGTTTACATAACCACCTGAACAATCCTATAGATACAGGGGAGAAAGGTGACTTGTACAACAATAGACATTCTGTATACATTGTTTACATTCTCTTTGCCCTAAGAGAAACTTCCAAAAACACCAGTGAATGTTCAGGTTCTCATTGCTGGTGTTGGCATTCTCTGAGGTCAGAATGGTTTGTTTTTTCTCAATAGGTGAATGTTCCAAGGCACTTACCATTCAAGATTGGGAAGATAAAGGATGCTGCATGTGGAGGGACAGGCAATGCTGTTGTAAATGGTGAGTTCATTTTTGCTGTTGCAGGGCTCCTGTTGGATTTAATAAGATGGGAGAGGAGACAGACGGTTACACTATTGCTACGCCTTTTACAGATGTCTGATATGATTGACATTTAGACTTTTTACAGGCTGTTATTTTAAGAGGGCTTGAATAGGGTGTTTGGAATGAAATATTTAGCCCTAGAAGAAGTTCCTGAAGGTCAGAGCTGAGGCATGTTGGCACAGGGAGCGTGCACTGCTTTTGCCTTTGCTGTGTCTGTATGATTTACTTCTCCCACACTGTCCATCTGGCAGCTTTCACAAGTACTGAACTTGAAGAATTCTTTTTGAAGTCTCACACCAGAAAGAGAGCTGGCTAGTGCAGGGCATAGTCACAAATCCAAGAGGGTAGGAATGCTGGGACATAAAAGTGTCTCTGTTTGTTATACCTCAGGCACTGCGGGCCTGTTCTATCTCAGAGACAAACTGAGAACACTCCGTTTTAATAATGCGGAGGCAGAACTACATTTGGGAAACATGATCCAAGGCAAATTGGCTTTGACGGCAAAGTTAGAGAGAATTCAAATGCAGGAAGGAGCCAAATGGAAACACATTGTGTTTTTTTTTAACTAGTCAGAATGACTTGCCAAGCCCAAAGAAAATAGCCATTTGGGTCTAATTAGGTTTCTGAGGCTGTATTAATTTCATAAGAGAGAACGTACTCACAGCATTTGTTTTTATTGTAACGCAGAAGAAGGAAATGTCTTTGTCTGGGGATATGGAATTCTTGGGAAAGGACCAAACCTGATGGAAACAGCAACTCCAGAAATGATCCCACCCACCCTCTTTGGCTTGTCAGACTTCAGTCCGGACACCCGCGTTTCTCGCATTTGCTGCGGACTCAGCCAGTTTGCTGCACTTAACAGTAAGTTTCCAGGCCATGGATCAGTAGTGAAACTGTCTCTTCAATTTGTTCCCCCCTTTAAAATCTTACTGAGATGTTTCAGTTTCTAAAACACGCTTCTTAAACGTGAAATGTGAACCTCCAAAATACCATGCTGAAACAATGCAATGGGTTTGAGCATGTTTTCAGTCAGCCCATTTCAATGGTAGCCTGGCCTCTATAGACACTGCTGCGATACATTTCTAATCTGTGTTCAGTAAAACAGATCTGTGCCCCTTCCCTTTGCTTTCTAAATTGCAGCCAGACCAGATTTACTTAAGGAACGGACCACAGCAAATATATGCAAGTTGAACTAACTAACCTAGTGTCTGAAGCAGAAAAACCATAGCATTACCGTGCAAATACTGACATGACAATCTTAGCAGCACCGTTAGTGCAGCTGTAACTATAATAAATCGAGCTTGTATGTGAAGAAAATACTGTAGCCTGAACATGGAGACTTGTTAAAGGTCAGTGAAAACGCCCAGCCCCACGGAAGCTGATGTAGCTACTCTATCTCAAGAGTAAAAGCTTTCGTCAATGATAGGTAAAATAACTTGATATTAGGCTGAATTTTGGAGTTGAGCTGTAGCCAAATGAGAAGGATTAGAGAAAATTTACACCATCTCCTTCAAGTGACTTTCCATAATGCTGGGGGCACATTGATCCAAGAAAGGGAGAGTGCATGTCATTGCACCAAGATGTTTAACATTTTCAAAAGCACCTAAGCCACTTCTGAAAATGGGATTTAGGCTCCTAAGTGCTTGTCTATGCGCACAGGCTGTACAGTTCTCGCTGCCACTTTAACTAAAGTGGTGTAGGGTGCTTTACACTGGTGTTTCCAGTCTCATACAGGAATAGCCATATACCAGTAGAACTGTGCCCACACAGGGGGTTCTTCCTCTAACTATTTCAGTTTAAAAAAAAATCACACCCCTGCTGAAATAGTTAGGCCTTCTTTACCCAGAGTTCTTTCACTGGTATAAATAACTTTTGAAATTGGGTCTCAGGTAACATTTTCAAGAGCACCTACAGTGACTGAGAAACATAAGACCTCTCCAAATGTACTGAATGCAGTTTTGCTCGGCCCGTATTGGAAGCCACCACTCTTAAGGAACAGATTTATCAGCCTTGGAGTGGTGGCTTTATGCTGGATTGCACTCTCTTTGCTTACGGGGCTCACTGTGGCTCTTGCTCCGATGCATAAAGTTAAACATCTTGAAGGTCACATCACTGCCCTCTGTCCTCGCAGCTCCTGCTTTGACTCTAAGAGCTGTGCACACAGACTGAGGATGTTGAACCTGAGTTTTGAAATTGAGCACCTGGAGCTTCCATTAATTTCAGAATTCTCTAGTGGACTCGGCCAGGCTGTTCCTTTAAACAAAATCCTGCACTTAGAGCTGTTGGGTGAGTGGAGGAGAAAAGATTCAGACCAAAAACCCATTGTCTGCCTCTGTTCCCTGAGCTCTTCTGTGAAGATGATATTGCTCTATCAAGTGTTCTCTTACTAAACTTACAGGACCTATAGGTTTTTCATCCTGGATTTATAACTCTCTGGTTATGGCCTTCTAGTCAATACCTCCATAAGTATCAATCTGCAGTCCCTTTCTTCATAAATAAAATTACTTACTTCGTATGTGAAGACCTTTTAAAAGGCAATCTGACCCAGGTTTTTTGCTTGTTGCAGACAGAGGAGAGCTGTTTATGTGGGGCAAGAATATAAGGGGGTCCTTGGGGATTGGAAGAATGGAAGACCAGTATTTCCCATGGAGGGTAAGTACACAGCATTCAAGCACAACCCTGCCCTAGAATTAAACATGCTCAGGAGTTAGTGTACTGTAACAATGGGTAGTGAGGCCTCCCCCACTCGGTGCCTAGTCGTGGATTTTGGCACTGAAAGTAACATGAAAACTTCAAATGCAAGATGGATCTTATCAATTCCTTCTCAGATTTCCTGACGTCAGGTCAGAGCTATATGTTGTCTCCAGTTGTTCTGGCATTTTATAATTAGTCTGTACTGTAGCAGGAGGCCTGAGAGATTTGGGCTCTAGTTAAGTGTTCTATATAGCAAGTGCCCAAGCCCTGTCCAGCAGAGATGGCCAAGATTATGTCAAACATGGTATGAAAGTTCATTTAAATTAAAGAAAAAATCCCCCTACCTATGTTCATGGAGCATAGAGTTTGAAAGTGTCCACACCTTTCCGACAAGATTGTCACCCTCTGAAACGCAGGCTTCTGGCAAAGCTCACTCAGGCACATGGCACAACTGTCTAACCCCTGACTTTGCATTCTCAACTTTCGTGTCACATGCATATAGTTTTTGGCACCTAAAATTATCCTTTTTAAAAACATTAAAGCAGGGACCATTTTGTGCAGAAGTGCAGTTTAAAGAAGTGAGGAAGAAGTATTTACAACGTTGATAGTTAAGATTTGCTACAAAATTATACTATGGTAATTAAATCTTTACTATAATTAATTCAGTGAATTAAAAGGCACAGATGCCAAGTGCATAAATTCTAACTATCCCATTTCTCCCTGGACATAGCTGCTAGGAAAGTAGATGGCAGTCGTGTGTCCATTAAAAATGATCAGGAATAGGGTGCACTGCATCTTCCTCTTCCTCTAAAAGGGGGAGCAGCATGAGCTCCCCTAGGGCACCCTATGTAGTGTAGAGGATCTGTTAGCTACTATCCCCCCTTAGAAGGCAAAATATTGCTGTAATTATGCAAGGTGGGGGAAAAGGCAATCAGCCATTAGCAGCTATTTCATTCCTCATTGAGGACTGCACATTTGAAACTCTAGTGTTCAGCTGTTCTTAAAGACCTCAATATGACTAACCTGCTTGTGCTCCCAGTTCAAAAATCCACCCTTGTCCTTGAACTGAGACCACACATGAAGCATCTCCCAGGCTTTAACTATTCTGTCTGTCCTCAGTGCTTAGCTACACCAACCTCTGTGATGCATAAACAAATCATCTTGCTGGGCTCTAGGCTATGCCCTTTCCACTCAAAGTGCTGCTTTCAGAACAGATGGGCTGGGGCTACAATCCCCTGCATTTCCCAACAAACCAGGTCTGATTTAGAGCTTTCCGCTCGCTCCATAAATGCATTATGTACTTCCATGGAAAACTACTCAAGTCTGTGCTTTACAGCACGTTGATGAATTCCTTAGGGTTGGCTGTTTCTGTGCCTGCGGTTGGAGCTGACGTTTCTTTAATCTAATCTCAATTCCCCAGACTGAACCCCATCTCCAAGTTGTTCTAGAGGCTTGCGCTTTAAAAGCCACTCAGCCTGGCTGGTATGGGTGTATGCACATGTGTGGCAGAAAGAGCCTGAAAGCAAATTTTCTTTTTTTCCTGTTCCAGGTGACAATCCCAGGCGAGGTAGTTGATGTGGCTTGTGGAGTTGATCATATGGTAACTCTGGTTAAATCATTTATCTAGCAGCCGTGCTGTACCTCAGCTATGCATGGGGAATGGCTGGTAAAAGATGAACCCACGATCACTCTTTCACTAAGGAGAACCCTTTGTGCTCATGTTCAATCGTATAATGCTGCACACACTCAGCGTGTGAAGAACCTCTGCAATGCTTGGAACCTTGTTAACTGTTTCTTCGCCTCCAGTTACTCTTTGGGAGAGAGCCTTGCATTCCTCCCATAGGGATGGTGAAGAGATGAGCAGATCAAACATTTTTAATTAGCTGCTGAGAATGGTCCAACCGCCCTGCTGCCAAGGCAGCAATGCTCTGCTAATGTGTAAGGATTAAGACAAGAAGGGGAGCTGTTTTATGACCATTTTACTGTGTTCCTCCATGAGGAAATTGCAGTACGTAGTATTATGTGCACTTACTCGTACAGATGGCAGTAGAGCTGTAAACGGGTATGCATCACTGCTGTCACTTTCAGGGGGTGATGGCCTTAGCCAACCATGTTTCCTAAAGGAAAAGTTATCTTATGGGATGAAATAAATACATGCTGATTAATACACCCTGGCAGAACTATTCTTCAGCATCTGATACTATGTTCTTATGCGTTACATGGGAAGCAGAGCTGCACTATGTCGTGTTTCACTCACCTGTGAGTAGATGAAGGCAGAGCCCAGTGTAGGTAGACAAAGTGTTCCTTCCGCCAGAGAGTTAGCTCTCCACCATTGGACTTTAGGTTCCTTCAGTGCCACAGATAGATCTGAGTGAGCACTCCGGTGTGGGAAGGAAAGGAGCAGTGATCTACATCAATTTATACCTTTAGGTATGTCTATACTACAGCAGCACAGGTATGACACTTTGGGCTTCTGGATGAGTGTAATTGTCTATAAGGTTCTAACTCCTCCCCCTCACCTTACTGGATGCTGCCTTTTGCCCCAGACCCCAACATGCATCTCCACACACAACTGCTGAGACTGGTGCCAACTATGCGTGGCCTCTACCCTCCTTCCTCTTGGAAAATCTAGTTAGGTTCCTAACTTGAGCCTCCTGTTTTTGAAAATCTAGGTCCCGAGGGAGAGGATGGCAGGGGAGTCATAATTGTAGTGGAATAGGGTGGATTTGGGAAGCCTGGCAGAAGTATCTTTGCAAAAGTCCAGGCATGAGGCAATGAACCCATGGCCAGGACTTGGGGGTAGCAAAGACACAACCTTTGTACCTCTGGCCATGCTAGAGCCCAGAATACAGTAGGCACACCAGACCCAGAGGGAGGTAGCAGGGCGTGACATTACCTGACTTCTTCCAAGATGTGCTGTGAGCACAGTAGTCCCTTCTGCGGCTGGCTACTCCGGTCTCTACCCTACACACAATGTATCCCTTCAGGTAATTGCCCAGTGAACAATCATGCTCCTACAACCATGCCTCTGTCCATCCAGCTGTTGCCCACATCTAAGCTGCTCTTTCCAGCTCCAGTTTTTATAGGGATGCTGACTGCTCATGTATTTTGATGTCATTCAACCCTGTCAGCATAGACTCCACATACGGCGAGATGCCTGCTAGTGTCCAGCATACCCCAAGCTTCCCTCTTTGTACATCACTTGTCTATGCAGGCAGCGAGGGTTGTGTGGAACTCCCAACTGCAGCACCTTTGAAGTCCTGTGCCGCAATTGTCTAGCCAACAGCAGCAGCGCCTCAGTTCTTTGCAGGTAAACAGAGAGCAGCAGCAAGGCAGAAATGGCTAATATTTCATAAAGCCCCTCCAATGGGGATACTCACCACATTCTGGTCCTTCGGTGGCACAAAGGAAACATGAAGAACAACAGATGCTGCCATCTCCAACCGGGCAACAAGATATTATTACAGGAATAGGTTTGAGAGGGACAAGAACCAGAACTCTCTATTAGTAGTAGAAGATAACTTATTGTCTTTAAGGGCAGAAGGGGCCATCAAGACACTATTGTAACATTATAACAATAATAGTAGTATATCCTAGTACCTAGGAGCCAGTCATTAATCAGGATCCCATTGTGCTATGCATTGTACAAATACAGAGCAAAAAGACACTGCCTGCCCAAAGGAGTTACAGTCTAAGTATAAGACAAGAGGAGACAGACAGACAGACAAACAAGGTAACAATGAAACCCTATTGGGCAGCATGATAGGAGGGGTCTCAGCGCACAGCTGACATAATGGGAAAAATCTAACTCTAAAGAGTCTAGGCACCATAGAGAGCGTTCAGAAAGAACTGTTAAGTCTACTGCTGTATTTAATTAACATTTCCTCTCGCCTTGGTAGGAAAACATGGCTTTACCATTCTTGAATGGTAATGAAGCATCAGGCAATCGAGACATTTTCATCTGGGAGTTGAAAGGAGCTTAAATTAATTAGGTGCTCAGCTCCCCTTGCAACTCAATGGGAGTTTTAATAATAAATTCCCATAGGTCCTTTCATATTAGACTACAGCAGTGTATTCCCCTGCTGATGTGCTGGGACAGACACAATCTGGTAGGGTCCCATTATCCAGTTTATAATCCACAACAAAACTTTGCCTCCTACTCATGTGGAGTTATTCATCTTCTTTAATGATCCTTTAGAATGATGGAAGGTTTTGGAAACTTCAGGTAAATGAGTCTATATTTATTCTTTTCGGTTAACTTTTTAAAAAATGCTCTCAAGTGTAGAGAGGCACAGTTTTTCCATGCAGAAGGCTGTGCTGCTTTGATCCAGTGGAGCTGTACAGATCCAGGGACTGTATTGTTAATCCATCGGTGCTATTGCATAAAAAAGGAAAAGCAAGAGGATGGCTATTTTTCATATAGAGGGGAGCTCTGCAAGCTCTTTGGGGCAGGAACAGTGTGTGTTTATACAGCATCTAGGTGGTCCATGACTGGGACTCCTAAACGCGATGGTAATACAAATAAATAATAAACATTTATAAAACAATAATATAGGATGGTTCAAATTTTCAAAAGAGACTAAGCTCCATTGAAAGTCAATGGGTTTTAGGCTTCTAGGGCACTTAGGTGCTTTTGAAAATTTTACCCATTGTGTCCACACTTGTATTAATGTGTTAAAACGTGACTGAAAATTCAAGTGTAGAGACACATGTTTATTGCTAGTCATAGCAAACACTGGGCTGTTAGTTACCCTAATTCAAACAAGCTACACTCCTAAAATCCCCAGTATTTTCAATAGGATTTGCTATCCACTTACTGTCCTAAACTGTACCTAGCATTAAGCTGCAGTCTGTGGTTAAACACAACAAGCAACAAATGTTTTCATCCTGGCACTAACTTTGGTGGTCCAGCTACACTAGAATTCACACTTGTGTTAATTAAGCACTACTGAAAATTCAAACGTAGACAAATCCTTACAGCTTCTCCCATCAACAATCCAGTGATCACCCCACCGCACGATCTGAAATACCTCAGTTATTTCCTTTTCTAAATATAAGGATCCCAGATACCCCTCCATAGTAACGGGTGGCAGGGGTTGCTTTTGTTCCCTGTACATTCATAGATAGCTGTATTCAGGCTGAAGAGTGTCACTGCACTTTGCAAACTCTATGGGAGGGTCATTTCCTTCACTGCTGAAATGCAGCCTGCTTTGGGTTCAAACAGGCAACTCTTACCAGGGTGCAGCAACTGTACACAACAGGTCAGGACAGGAAGCATGCAGAATAATAAATGTTATTGCAACTACAGGGGAATTTAGGAAGGCAATGTTAACATTTAGGCAGGATGAGCAAGCTTTCCTTTTTGGATCTTTAATGAGCGCAAGTGGCCCAGAACTTCTCTTAAGCCTTAACAAGATCTTTTCATTATGGGTCTCTTTTTAACCTGGATTTTAAAATTTCTCTCTCGCCCACTAGCTGGTTGTAACCCTAACAGGCAAAGAACAGACTTCTCTTCCTTATTCCCCTGCCTTTACTGAAAACAAGCAAGCAGTAAAACAGATCAGCTTATAAGATGGCAGCACTGACAGAGAGGGAGCATCCAAGCGCCAAGCTAACATTCAGATGCGAGCACACAAAGCACACAGCCAAGGTAGCTATCTAAGCTTGTAGTGCCCTTCCAGCCTCTTACTGTCTACCTAGACCAGCTTCCTACGTACCAGAAAGGGAATTACTAGTGGAAGCTGATGACTGCCTGACTGGCTGGACCGGGATCTGCATTTCCTAGGTCACTTGCTCATCGTGCTGGTGTCTTGTACTGATGGGAGCGTGAAACAGCAGTGACAGCTGCGCTGGGGAAACACTGACGCTTTCTATTCAGCCTGCTGGGGGAATAAATCTAAGTGACAGAAGGTTACCTGAGTGGAAGGTAGCTTGGGTCCTCTTTTTGCAATACCTTGTTTTCTAATTAACAGCATCATGCTGTGAATATTGAAATGCAGGTGAGGAAAGGTGAATCCTGTTTGGAGGCTGATGTGTGAAGGATCATCCTGCTCCCATGGCAGCCCAACTACAGGTGGGGGGAGGATGTGATATACTAGTTTATAGCTTTGTGAGACAGGCAGGGAGAGCTGCCAGTGAACCGGAACATCTATATTTGGAGCCTTCAAGCTCACTCTGTAAAATCCAAAGGCACGTTACTAATGGAGCTGGGCTCCGAGGACAACCGCTCGCCTGAACAGTCAAGGCTCGGGGGACATTGCTAGAGCAATAAGTGGCAGACTGTGAAGTTAGTCAGACAGCACAACAGCAATGGGAGATTGGACATTTTGGCCAAAGACACGTTGACAACCTCCTTTTCTTAGGAGACATGCTATAGAATCCCCACGGGCAACAAAGTCAATGTGAAATGGGTGCAGACAAAACCTTGGTTTTTAAGGGTTCATCTAATACTCCCCTTACAGCAAAACACCTGGATCTCCGTTTATGAAGGGTGGAGGGATGCTGCCAGGATTTCAACCCATTGCACTAAGTCCAACACGTGTGCCAGTATCTTAGATCACAGCACCTTAAACAGCCCTCTGACATTCCCCATGCCACTGCCCAGCCCCAGCTCTGCTTCCGCTAGTGAGTGCAGAGACTTGTTTAAAAAAGCCATGCAGATACTCACTAGAATGATGGAACAGTTTGCTGTTGGAAAATGCAGTTTTGCTGAAATCAGGGGACTGTGCTGATTTCAATAACATTCTTGATGGGAAATTTTTGAAGCAACTAAAAACATTTTGTTTAGATTCGTTTCATTTCTACTTTTATACCATATTAAAATACTGAGTTTAATACACCTCTACCTTGATATAACGCTGTCCTCGGGAGCAAAAAAATCGTACCGCGTTGTAGGTGAAACCGTGTTATATCGAACTTGGTTTGATCTGCCGGAGTGCGCACTCCCACCCCCCCAGAGCACTGCTTTACCGTGTTATATCAGAATTTGTGTTATATCGGGTTATGTCAGGGTAGAGGTGTATTAAATTTCTATCCCTTCTATTTAATATTCTACATAATATATATTATATTTAGTATTTCATATTGTAATATTTTGATGTTATCGAAACAAAAAGATTCAGAATATTCCTTGCATGGGAAATGAAGAAATTCTCGCTTTTCGTTCCAACTCAGAATGATTTTCCACCCCCCTGCCTCCGAATCTTGGACTTTCCCATGGAGACCAGCAGAGATTCTTGATCCTGGAAGGCTTCCTGAGAGTAGCAGGACATCCTTAGCACACATTCCAGTTTGCTCTGGGAGAGGTACAGCAAAGCCAGGCTGATTGGTATTCCAGGATGGGGACGATAGGATATTTCACATTTACGAGGATCACATTTCAGCAGGTCATCCTCAGTATCACCGACTGTAATAACTCCTGGCACCACAAATTGCTGCTCTAGATTCAAACTTTCCCAGAGGACAGGGGTGTTTGGATCAATGCCTGTCTCCAATGGTCAATAACAGCCACACTTACATAGCATTGGAGACAGTGGATAATATATCCTCACTCTTGTGATGGAGGTAAATATCTGTATATTGCAAATAGGGAAACTGAGGCTCAGAAAATATGGCTTGCACCATTGCTGGCTCCCTGAATCGTGCTCAAGCTCCTCAACCCCACAGCACTGAGCAGATTCCAGGTGGCTGTCACACTGGCAGTTTTTAAGAACAGTTTAGACAAATGCCTGTCAAGGATGGGTCTGTTTATTACTTAGTCCTGTCTTCAGTGCAGGGGACTGGGCTACATGACCTACTGAGGTCCCTTCCAGTCCTGCACTTCTGTGATTAACACAGGGTGTTTTAAGGGTTTGCAGAGGGGCGTTTCCTGGGCACTAGACCCAGGAATAGGAAAAGTTTTCCAAAAGCGTGACTATCACCTTTCACTTCCAATCCTCTCTCACACACGCAAGATAGGATGAGGCCCAAGCTATACCCCAGTTGTGTGCGTTACAGAACTACCAGCACAAGTGGGAGCCCACAGCTAGGAGGCCCTTCACCGGGAAAGGGCAGCATGACTCATAGTTAAAAGTGTATTGTGTGGTGGGAAACTCAACCAGCTCCTGCCTGTGCTATGACGGGCTCAAGCCTCGCCTTCATGAGCCACCTCACTTTTTATTGAAATAAAGGGTGAAGAAAGCAAGCAGCAGAGAGGACAAGGGGAGCATTTTCCCCTTCCCAACTCTATGCCCCTCCTCGCTACATCTTCAACAAATCCCCTCTGCGTTACCGCCCTCAGAACCTGTTGGAATTGCTCTTTTCAGAACATTTAGTGAAAGACAAGAACCATACAAACACAAATTTCACAGACTTAAGTGTCCTCGTAGGGCAAGAGAACGAAAGAGCCCCCATCCCTCTCCAAACCACTTCGAAATAGCAGTCTGGAGACTGGCTGCTCTGGAGGGGAGACATGAGAGAGGCCACACCCGCCTATTCACAGAGCTAGGACCAACCTTTGTCCCCACAAAGGGACGTGACTTAGGGGCTTGTTTCATCAGAAGAGGCCAGAAAAGAGGAAAGCTGTTTTTCTTGTTTGACTAACTTGGTTGCAAGATCACTTCAGGATCTGGACATCTCTCCTCAGCACTTCTCGCTCATTCCAACCATTGTCTGTGTTACTTGACGTCTTCTTCCAAGTGCTATTGTATTTCATCCCAGAGAAACTCTGCAAAGAACACAAGCATAAATCATCTGAAAATGGCCCCCATGCCACCAGTAGAGCAGTTCTTGAAGATTAAACAATTATTCCTGCAATACTATGAGCTTGATTTTGCTGCCAGTTTTCTAAACTACCATCTGTTTTGTGGTACATAAGATGTTGAGTTTCATTCCTGAGGGAAAGGGGTGGGTTTGATTTTGTTACTGTTTTTAAACATGTAGCAAAGTTTAGTTTAAAAGTTTTTGTAGGAGAGTTATTTTCTGGAGGGAGCACAGTTGGGGGGTGGGGAGAGGGGCTGGGAGTCAGGACTCCTGGGTTCTACTCTGACACCGCTGACTCTGCCCTTCCTTCGTAATCCTGTAGGCTGAGCCGCTGAGGTTGAAGCTGTCTCATTTCTGCCTGTTCTGCCTTTTCAGACATCAAGCGCCAAAGGGCTTCAGATTTACTCGAGGCTATTGACTAAAACGGCATTGATGACATCAGAAAGAATTCTCTGTGTACAGACTCTTCAGATCTTTCTGAGTCGGCCTTTATAAGATGCTTGCAATTTCCCAGGGGGCAGTGGATCTGTGGGAAGGCAGGCAGGGGTAGAAATCCATAAAGCTAAGGACGCCTCCCTTATTCAACCGAAACATCTAAAAGAAGAAGAAAATCCTTTTCCTCCAGGTGTTGTTCAAAGAACCGAAGGCCTGGAATAATTTAGCCAGCTCCTACAGCACCATCTGTGGCAACAACCCTGCTGGGGAAGAGTTACAAAAGAGACGCGAAGTCAGGGAGACTTCATGGTGGGGGCTCAGTGGTCTTGTCATGGTCGCATCTTCTGTATGCCTGCAAGAATGTCACCCCATGCGTTTACTGGCTACATATCATTCAGTGATGTCCCCCCACAGCAGTGCTCTGTACTGCGCCTCCAGATACATAGCCACCAAACTGCACAGTTGGGTCTGGGCATGCCGCCATTCTGCTGCTGTTCTGTCTGAATGACGGAAACAAGGCAAAGTTTGAGAGTCATTGCGAGCCAGGAGTTGTTTCCTGTCTGGCAAAACACTTTCAGAGTGAGTTTATTAGAATCCCATAAGCTCCTTTTTGTTGTGTCTTTGCACAGTGCCTGGCACCCTGGTTCAGGACTGGAACTCCTAGGCTCTACAGATAATACTACTATAAAATATACACGCAGCATGCACTTAGATTGTAAACTCTCTGCAGCAGAGACTGTCTGTGCGTGTATATGGCCTAGCACAATGGGCCCTCAATCCTAGTAGCACAGCTGGGAGGAGAACCGTCTGCCATAATCTGCTCTAACCACTGCAGCATGCTGCCTTCATGATATAGGAATTCAAAATGGGGATAAGCCTCTGACCCGGTTCCTCTCTGAGCAGGGTGTGTTTGACCAGGCTTTGAAGGAACTGCCAGTCCCTTGCGGATGGGTTTTGTTTTCCCCCATGCTGCGGTGTGGCTCTCGGCTGCAGCTCTGTGCCAGACATCACAACAGGAGGAGTTAAAACAAGAACATGTCGTCTATGGTTCTCTGGATACAGACCTGCCAGTCAGATGTGGAAGAGCAGCTGTTAGTTTGTATCAGCTGATCACAAAAGCCACAGGCTGGTTAAATCCCAATGTGCCCATCACATAATTCAGAGGTCTATAAAAACCAAACAGAGAGTGATTATGAATGATTAATAGAACAGTAGCTATTAAGCCAAGGGGGTTAACACAACGGAGAATAAGGCTATATATACATTTCGGTGTCAGGTCATTTACAGACCTCTGGTAAATAGCTGAATTAAGTGTTGCACTGACTCGCTTTGTCCGTGGAGAGCAATTTTTCATAATAATACATTGTCAGGATAAACAGGGATCCATCTTTGTGAAACACCATTCACAGCTGACCCAGCCCCCCCCTCCCCCCCCCCCGGCGTCATGCAGGAGAAAGGAGGACAAAGGATGGGAAACATCACAGGGGGCCACAGGACTTGGCAACTAAGCTGCAGGGAGACTTGTCTTGGGGCTGACGTGCCTGAAAAAGAGCGATGATGGCTCTAAATATTCAAAGAGCTTCTTTGGTGTTTCCGGCTAACGCGGGCATGGATGTGGAGACAGTGCAAACAAACCCCCGTGTTCTAGAGTGAGGGGAGCCTTTCCTTAGGAGGGGAGAGGGTGTAGCCCTGCCATTTCCTCTTCACTGCCCCGTGGTTGCAGTTGTGAACTTGGCCCTGAATCAATGAGATCAGACTTGTACCCACGTGGATGGCTCGCAGAGATTATAGCTCATGCTAGCTTCAGGTCGCTACCCGCAGGTCTACGGGAATGAGAGCGGTTACCTTCTGACCCAGGTGTATTGGCCCGTGTGAAATGGATTGATGTTTCAGACTCAGACCTAGTGGAGAGGTGTCCACCTCACTTAAACCATTATTTATCCAAACTGCCATGCTCATCAGCCATTGGGCACTGAATGGCCTTGAGGTAGTGAGGAAGAGTGGTCTTGTGGTTAAAGCAGTACAGTGGGACTCAGGAGTCCTGGATTCAACTCCCGGCCCTGCCACAGACTTCCTGTGTGACCCCGGGCAAGTCACTTAATCACTCGGTGCCTCAGTTTCCCCATTTGCATAACAGGAAATGTCATACTACTTTTCTCTGAGGCTTTGTCTACCTACAATCTATGCACTTGGAAGCAGGCACTGTTTCTTCCTATGAGTTTTCATCGCACACTGCATGATGGGGCCTTAATCTAGCTGCTACTATAAACACGGAGACATGAACAACAAAATAATAACGAGGCAGTGCCTCTAAATGAGAGTGGCTCAGTGCCACTCCTATTGCTGCTCCTCATGCTGTGTGAACTCTTCTGTGGAAGACCAGGGCATCATTCCCCAGGGTTGTTGATTGCGGCACCTTTCCCACTAAATTTACACACACACAAATCAGGTCCATTGCATCCCAAAAGCTTTACCGTAAATTCTTTAGTGCAGGTATCTAAGAAACTCTCAGCAAAGAATTTCACACAGATGCATCTGTAAAATCTGGTCATTTACTTAAAAAAAAAAAAAGATGTTTTTAAAATGCTGTTAGAAGCAAGTTTTGCTCATAGGAGATGGAGGGGGGGAAGCGAAAAAAGGTATGCGGAGGAATCTTTTAAAAAGTGTTGCTTTAAGAAAACCTGACTTCAGTGAACTGAGGGAGTCTGGTTAAACATTTAAAACTTGTGCTCCTTGAAGTGATGCCTTTAATGGTTCGCGCCGAAGCGGCTACTGACTGAGTTTGAATAGCTGGGCCCACATACCTGGAAGACCGACTCAAAATAAACTCATCGGGACACATAAAGGATGCAATTATATCTTTCTCAAATTTGCAGTGGGAGTCGGGCAGGACCTACGACTTGAAGTCACTGCATGTCTCTGTGTTGATTCCGGGCTGAAGTTCAGAGATTTGCTTAATAACAGACCACCACAATTTTGCACGTCAATAGCTCCTTTCAGTGGAGGATCTTAAAGCACTAACGAATTAAGTCTGACAATGCCCTTGTGAAGTATGGAAGCAGCATACGGAGGTCGAGTGACCAACTCAGGGTGTCTCAGTCTGTAGGTGACAGAACCAGGAAAAGCAAACTCCTGACTCCCCATCCCTTGGTCTAACCTCTAGACAACCTGGCTTCCGCTCTAGTTTTCAGGGGGTGCATTTGTAACAAGCCGGCCTGCGCTTTTCAGACTAGAATGAACAGTTGAGTCGTGGCATCTACGGTACCAGTTATGGGTTAAACTTGAACAAGGCAAGAAGTTCTCCCTTCTGCTACAGCGTGTTAACAGGCAAAGGAGTTAGAGGATTTCTCTTTCCAGGTTAGTTTTGTTTTATTCTGCACCTTTTTCTTGCTGCAGACCAGCAGGTCCTTTGTGATGGCGCTTTCCCCGTTAGGCCTGTTGACACTCTCTCTGCCAACTCTGGCTAGGACGGCCTTAGTTGATGGCTCAGGTGATGTTTCGTGGATAGAAGGTAAATTCCTCTCCTAGCATCTTGTTGAATTGAGACATGCCACACTTGATTTGCACACGCACAGTCCCCTCCCCACATCACAGAGCATGCTGTGCAGGTTGCATCTGTCTGCAGATCCAGCACTTTCCTCCACAGCACAAGCTCCAGGCCATGATTATATATCGGGCTTTATATCCTCCTGTAAATCCCATATCCTGTAGTGGGTATGTGTTATAAAAACATTTACAGAGGATTCCTTTTCTTTCCTTCACTCGTCCACCCACTCAGTAACTAAAATGGCTGATTTTCATTTCAATATTCTTCTATTATCCTCTACTGTCCCATGCAGGGTCAGCCTTTTAAAAATGTTGGATAAGAGGAAAATAGGAAAGATTTTACCTGTCGGAGGCACCCAGGGGTTGCAAAGTTTACATTCGCGCCCCCCCATGACTGACAGATTACGTCTGTTTAGGAACACAGCTGTCAGTATAATTAACAATCTAGTCCCAGGGTAGGGAGCTGAGAAGTAGTACAATGGAAGGAATCTCTGCACCACGTTGTCCTTCAAAGTAGCAAATTAGACAGCCATAAATATACCTGCAGTAAAGGGGGAGGGAGAACAGGGAAGGCACATAGGGAGCATCTTAAATTAGAACAAAAATAACCTACTTGATTTGCATTGATTAGCAAGAGTCATTTGCCTTACAAATTCCGCTGTGCTATCAGCTTTGGCTGAAAATAGAGTGAAAACTCTTCAGGGCAGGAAACACAGTTCCCGCTGTGCATGTACAGCTCCGAGCACAACAGGGCCCCAATCTGGATTGTCCAGTGATACAGTTATTAACCATTAATACTACACTGAACCAACAACTTGAAGAGCCCAAAGACATCAGTTGGTTTTGAAAATCCAAATCCTGGCTTGTGCTACCTCAGGGTCTGCACAGCTGAATTTAATACTTGGGTAAGACAATGGGCTGATAGCCCTATAAGCTCAAATCCTTCAGCTATTCCGACAACAGACACAGCACATGGACGATCTCTGAGGGGGAATTCAGTCTCCCGGACTCACGCAGCCTGTGGCGAATCAGCAGAGACATGGAAATCTAGTAACGTGAACTGCAGGATTTTTATTAAAATGACTAGTGCCTAGGTGGAAAGACTATTTTATTTGTGCTCCGTTCCAGCTATTCATTTCTGCACTTCCATACCTGCAAATCCTACTGGGACGGCTCATGCTCCGCCCTTAGCTAGATTCAGGCAATATCCCTGACCTCATCCTGGGGCTGTCGGAGAGCAAAATATGGTCCTGGGTGTGTTAATAAACCATGTGTCTGTAAATAAAATATATTACATCCTGGAAAGCCAGGATTATTTTAGGCACGCTCAACACTGAGACCAACTATATTTTGCCCCCCCACCCCCCCCAGGATCCTTTGATACAAATGATTCTGAAAACTAGAACTTGAAGATCTCAAAAATTGTCCTGCTTTGGTTTGACTTCCCATCCTCTATTTTTATAAACATACTGCAGCGTGGTCGAACTAACCTGCAACAAAACTAGGAGTTTCTACCAGCCATTGAAGACCTAAAATACAGTAGATCAGGCCTGATTTGCTAAGAGTTTGGACTCTTTCCCCAAACCCCTTCTTAGCAAATACATTTCTTATTATTTGTATTGAGGTAGCTCCCAGAGTCTCATTATGTTAGGCGCTCTGCAAACACAGGAGACACTATGGTCCCTGACCAGAAGAGCTTTAGACCTGGCAAACAAATCAATTCTTATTTTAAGTGAGGGATCTGTAATTTTTGTTAAAGTGGATACATTTCAAACCAAATCCTCCATCTGTGCATATTTAAATATAACCGGTCATGAGGCTGTGCATCACTGTCTTCTGCTAAAGGGACTCAGAGCTACTCAAGCATGTTTCATAGGCTCTATACTGCTAACAATGGAGATTCTCCATTAGCTCACATAGTGGTGACCTGTGTTTTTAGGACCACGAAGATCTGATTGAAATTCTTGTGTGTCCATCATGTACAACATAGCGTGACAGCTGCAAGATCCTTAGACATCTCTGAATTTGGTGCAAAATATTTTATGGTCTGCCTTAAAGTCTCACTGTGGATACGATGAGGAACAATTTAGTGGTTCGAAACAAAAAAGGTGAGCTGCTTTTAGGACCAGGGTGTTTACATGGGGGAATTAATTTTGCTGTTTCCCTAGTCTGGTTCCAGGAGCAGCTGAAAGAACTCTGCAAGGTGATAGTTCATGCTAGCTATCTGTGCAAGCAGACAGGGACGCATCCAGGTCTTTTGCAGCTTTGCAAATACAACCTTTGGACCTACTTGGATAGTTAGCTGCTAGAGATTGCATGGGTAACCTTTTCAAAAGTTCCTATATGATGTAAGAGCTTCCCGGCTTGTCTACATGGGGAAGCTAGGGTGTGAATTAAAGCACACTAACTCCCCGTGTGAACACCCTTACCCTGCCCCAAGAGCGTCTGTGTGCAGGTTAGGGTGTACTAACTACTCCAGGCTTTTCCCCACATAGACCAACCCTCTGTCCTATTGAAAGCCAATGAGACTTAGAGTCACTTTTGAAAATTTTACCCCATGTCTCTTTTTAAGTCAGCTCTACCTTGAATGGAGGGACAAGGTTTCCAGGGGAGATGCCTCTTTCCCACACTTCTATGTTTTCGACGTTCCCCTCCACTGAGTGATGCTCTTCCAGAGAAGATGATGCTGGGATCCTGGCATTCCACTCCAGTGCAGATGATCTGTCAGACAACACTGTTCACAGTTAACATGGCCCATGCTCATCAATGCCAGTGGGAAAACAGCCACTTCTATGGCTGAAGGTGGCATGGTGTCTTAGCAAAGAGGTGAAAGAAAATAAATATATAAATGCTAAGCATGCACGGAGGGAAAAAAGATCCAGTTTGGCCTAGGTATCAAAACATGCAGATAGGAACCACCCCCACTGACAGCCGTGGCGACATGCAAGACAGCAGCAGAGCAAGTAGCTCGCACGACTCTTATGTTGCACAGATATCTGCAGAAAAGTCACACACACACTATGGGAGCTTCCGAAGGGCAAAATCTGGCCTTCGGCTTTAGGAGCAACGACCCACCTGCATCAAGTTGTTAACCGGTGCCAAAGTTTGAGAGTGCACACAATATGGGCATATACAAATGTGTGTCTTGTATACTCAACTATAGCCATATACACACCCGTGTGTGTGTGCATGAGAGGATGGGTGTGTGTAAAAGGGGGGAATAGAGCTGAAGGGCCTAAGTCCCATTTTCAGCAGTGCCACTGGCACGTCAGAGCATCAGTCTCATGGAAAAATCAGTGGGACTTGGATTACTTAAGTGTCACGGTCATTTCTGAAAATGGGGTTTTGGCTCCTAAATCGCTCAGGCCAGGTGTACACTACAGACTTCTGCCAGCATCGTTGTGTCGGTCAGGTGTGAAGCGGTGTGAGCTCTGGCCCACACAGCTGTGCCCGCTGAAGCCTCTAGCGTAGAGGCAGCCGTACTGGCAAAGCTGCCAGTGAAGCTTGTTTCGCTCCTGCAGGGTGGTTTTATTATACCAGCACCGAGAGCAGCACTTTGCCGGGATAGTATACGGTGAAGCATTGCTAGTGTAGACATCACCTCAGGTACTTTGAAAACGTTTGCCTTAAGGTCCCAGTCTGATTCCCATTCACTTCAGCGATGCAGGATCAGGCCCTACGTTAAAAGCTGTCAGGCGGCAGGACTTAGGTTACAAGGTAACTCATGCGATGGCGCGTCACTGAACAGTTTTGTTGTCAGTTTTAAATGCACTAAATGACTAAGGCAAAGTGTCTCATTAAGGATCCATTTACAAATGGATTTTATTCAGTGGGGACCAACTGCACCTCTGCTCCGTAACGCCCAACTGTACAGCATGTTGCAATACGGAGACGAGGGTGTTGCGTTTCCTGTGAATTTCAACCAGAACCTCCAGCCTCCTCAAAACTTCACCCTGGCTGAGAACAGTAAGTTGTAATGGGGGATTTCCTGGATTGCTCGGCAAGAGAGAGGATACTAAAGTGCAGCACTACACGGTGCATAGCACGATTGTTTTCCTGAACAACAAAGGCAGTTTCTTACCTGGGAACGGTACCCGACTCCGTCTTGCAGTCTTCAAATCTCCGAAGAGATCACACAGGCCAGGACGGGAACAGGGTAATACAATGCCTGCCAATGACCCCAGCAAATGCAACCAGCCGGGGCGTAGGGTTGAAGGATGATGACGTATCCATACTGGATTTCATCCCTGGGCAGAGACCTCAGCTGCGTACTTCAAAAGTTGCTTGGAGAACTATTGGCCTGTGTGCTGCTGTGTGGAAAGCTAACCTGAGGGAGTCTGCAGCACATCGAGCTGGGATCCTAAGTCAAGGGAATGAGGCAAAAGATCAGTGTAATTTGGATCTTTGGATGGTAAAGCACTGGCCTCAACTCCCCTTACCCAGACCTCCACGCAAGCCAATCTATACGGGCCTGGGTCCAGTTGGGTGGAGACCTTCTACGGAGCCAGAGTGGCAAGTTGAGGCTCAGATTCGGGTTTGTGTGGTGCCCTTCTTCCTCCCAAAGCAGGGGCTTCAGTGCAGAGAGGGCAGTGACTGTGTAGGCAAACACACACCCATAGCCTGGGAGATACCGGTCAGAACAAGGGAACGTTTGCCAGCACCTATTAATAAGTGCTGCAGTATTAAATAACAATGGTCCAAAGGGTGCTCGTGACACTTGTACGATGCAATAGTTGGAGACAGTTCTGCAGTTCCCCTCTTCCCCCCCGCATAAGGGACAGCACCAGGCTTACTGGCTCCTCCTTTCAGAGTGCAGTGGGATGGATCGCTTACCTTCCGGCGGAGTGAGCCCTGCGGCACCAGTGCACCTGGAGGATGGCGCCACTAAATGCCGGCATCCCTCCCTGCGCACACGGCGTCCTGACGGAGGGCTCCATTTCAGAGTTGGAACTGCCCTCCAGGTGTTCAGCAGAGTCGAATCTACACCCATCAGGGCTGGGTTTGGCCAGTGGCCTTCCGGTGCCTGCTACCACCTAAACCCTGACCCTACAATCGGATCTACGTGAACAGGCCCTCGCAACTGTTTAAGAGGCCCATATAATTCATTGGAGCTTGGTGTGAGTACCAGGGTCAACAGGATGTTCAGGATCTTAGCTGCCTAGTCACCATTTGATGCGAGCAGCTGGGTACTGGGATAAGACTCAGGCCTGGTCTACACTGGGGGGGGAGAGGGGAATCGATCTAAGATATGCAACTTCAGCTACGAGAATAGCGTAGCTGAAGTCGACGTATCTTAGATCGACTTGCCTCCCGTCCTTACAGCGCGGGATCGACGGCCGCGACTCCCCCGTCGACTCCGCTTCCGCCGCTCGTCCTGGTGGAGTTCCGGAGTCGACGGGGAGCACGTTCGGGGATCGATTTATTGCGTCTAGATGAGACGCAATATATCGATCCCTGATAGATAGATCGCTACCCGTCGATCTGGCGGGTAGTGTGGACATACCCCTAGTACAGACTTTTCTTTCCCTGGCATTCGTTGCCTTTTAGAAAAGGCTTAATAAAGGAGAGTTACATCTTATAAAGACAATGCCAAGCTCTGCTTTATTTGAATCAGTTTGATCAGTACAAAAGCAGACAGCGTATGTTTTGCTTTTCCCCCCCCCATTTTAATTAACACTTTACAAAGTACAAAATATACTGTCATTTGTTTTGGAACATTAGGGTTTTTTTTTCTTCTTTTCCATACAGTACAATAAATCTCGAGTTTCAGCAAAAGACCCAGCAAGTAAAATAAGCATGTGCACTCTCCGTGTAAAGCAAAACCATCCATCGTCCAGCTCCATGCTTCGTACAAGAACGAGATCCTTCGCTGCTGTTGCAACGCGACAGGGTGAAATTCACCTCTGTGCAGAGGGCTGGCACAAGGGCTACCAACCATTTCAATCTGACTGAAGCCTTTCCACCTCAACCTAGCAAAGACTGATACATGGGCGTAATTCTGCGAGCTGCACACAGCCCCACTGGCTTCAGCTCAGTCACTCAACGTGCGTACGTGCGGCAGTCTGTGCAGGATTGAAGTCTTAGAGAACACAGGGGTTGCCGCAGTCCCTTGCATAGGGGTGAACTGCCCCCTAAGTTAGCTGCTTTCTGTAGCATTTTTTTTTAAAGAAAAGCCTCCATCACATCATTTATCCCAATTAAAAAAAAGATGGTTCCAATTAAGGAACGGCTTTGTAAATTCCTGTATCTGCATGACACTAGCAAAGACAGAACACGATGGAAATAAACAAGGCTGTGTTACCAAATGTTTCTTTTCACACCCCCAGCCCCCCACACCCCACTGTAAGATAACAGCAACAATTTTGCTTTCAGCACCAGGAGTGTTTGCCAGAAATTCAGATGCCATTTGGGGCTTGAATGTATCCTACTGATGATTAAGTTACAGAGGAAAGTTCAGCTCAAATGCAATGTGTTCAAGGAGTCTCTGGAGATTTCAATGGTGTTTATCCCAGTTTTCCAACTGGGCTGAATGAAGCACAAGGTGGGAAGAGTGACCGGCCGTAGGTCCTAGGGTTGGCAAGGCTTAGGACCAAGAATTTCTCTGATCTGGTTATTTGCCAGAAAACCTGAGCCATACAACAGCCTCCTGACTATGATCTGCTTCAGTCTGCTGACCAGTACTTCGGACCAGGGTTGGATTTTTTAATTCAAGAAAAAGGAGTAATCAATGCCCTGTTCAAGCAAGTTGAAACACTAATAAAATGGCCATTAGCAGCGAAGTGCCCTAGGGAAAGAGCCAGATTCTGATGTGAGTTACGCTAGGGTAAATCTGGAGTAACTCCGCTAACTGCAACAGAGTTTACACTGGCGTAAATCTCTGACTGCAGGGGGGTTCTTTTAAGTTCCACACCAGAGTCTGTCCCAAAATGCACAGCTAAGAATTGGCACGATCATACCATTAAAATAGCCCATCCAAATGAAAGTTCGCAGGGTGCAGTCTAGGGTCCAGTTGTTCGAAGCAAAGTAACACTGATGCCAATCAAGCTGTTGGGAAAGTCTGACACAGCCCACGCCACAAAGCCTCACTCTCTGGTTTCTTTGCCTCAGATCCAGAAACAGGATTTCAGCCCCCCCATTTCAAAATTCCATCTACCAGGCCTGGGCCCACCAAGGAGCTCGGGCCTGGCCCTCCATATTCCTTCTGGAGCCAGCGAGGATAACTACTCATATGAGTAAGAGTTTACAGCATCCGGCACTGAGAGCTGGTGCGTTACAGACATGACCTCCAAGGGTAGTGTTAGAGAACACTGGAGAGGTATGACCCATTCGCTAAATGGGAGCACTGTCATTACAGTTGGACACCATCATTGTGGGCTCAAGGGCCTAGTTTTGGTTGACCTCAAAAAATAACGGAGAAAGGAGTTTGTGCTGGAAGGAAACGCTGCCGAATTAGAGCCAGCACCAGCAAACTATCAGCCTCTAGGACTACCCCTTCACAGACTCTGAATCTAAGGCCAGCACAGTATCCGGCATGTGACGAAACAAGTCCCCAGTCCTTCCTCGGCGCCTCTAATCACCGCAGTGAATACCAGTTACTACAGGTAACGCACCGGGGGGTTATGAATGAAGAGAGACAGTCAATGGGAGAGAGGGCTGGGTCCTAGTCCCACTGAAGTCAATGGGAATTTTGCTACTGACTTCAAAAGTGGAGGAGAGGCGGTCAGTATTCTGCTCTTGAACTGCAGCCTAAGGCCACAGACCCTGTAACTGATAGCAGCAGTCACCTACCTACCATCAATTGCAGGATTAAGACCTATGTGGTTATTAATAGCAGCAGCGGGTAGTCCCACGCCTTTAGAGGAATTCTGCTGACGACCGAGGATTGCCTTTGCGTTGGGAAATATTTTCAGAATTGCACTCAAAAGAGGCCATCAAAAACACTGGGAAAATGGACATTCTTATCCCCCCAGAGAAGTTTTAAAAAACAACCCCCACCTCAAAACCAACAAATGTATTCTCCCTCCTGCCCCCTACGCTACAGTCAGAGCAAATAAAAACCCAGAGGAAGATGGGAGTAGCAAACGGGTCTCATTTTCGTTGATACGAAGGCCCCTTTTTTCATTGCTCTGGCAGGGCTAAGAGGCTTTAAAGTGGGCATGAAGGTAATCTGCACCCACTTGAATGTCCCTGGACACTGCCAGACTGGCGTAAAGTGACTTTGGCGTAAAAGAGAATGGGGCCCTTGGAGCGTTCTAATTGTCAGCCCGGTGCTGCCCAGACAGAACATTCTTTAGTCACCAAAACCTGCCGCTTTGAGAACGAGCGGCCGTGGAGGGATGCGGTGGTGGTGATGATATTGAGGGAGGGGAAGTTATTTTTTTAATGAAATACACAACAGAAGTAAAGCCTAGGTCTTCACCTCAAATCAGACATTACCTGTTCCTAACGTACAAAGGAAAAACTGGAAGCTTCTCTTGCAAAAACTGTCTTTTTTTTGTAAACTTAACCTACAAGCAAAAATCTGCCAACGAGATGTTCCTGAATACTGACTGACTGAATTTCACCTCAGCCTATGTGAAACGGCACCACACACGCACAAAAACCCAAAAGGAAAACATGGAGAACAGCTGGCAGAAAGGAGACATTCAAAATTCAATTATTTCTTCAAGACGAGACTAGCTAAATAGACGATCTATGCATAGTGCTGCAGGTTAACTCAGTAACTGTCTAGAACAGCCCTGACGCACCCATGTATGCTCAAGACAATGTGTTATGCTTAAGGATCTCTCTCTTCTAACACACATTCTAGTCTTGCTAAGGGTAAAGGTCTCTGCTTTTCCAGAGGTACACTCAGGGGCCAGCTTTTTACATAAGGATTTTTGCTTTAGCAGTATTGCCAACCTAAAGCATTCAAAAATCATGAATCTGGACTCAAAAAAAAAAAATCAAGATTTTTTTTAAAATGATAAATTTTTGGGGTTCTTTTTCTTTGCCTTCTGGTTTCAGAGCTTTTAGGGTGGACTCAGGTCACCTTTACAAGCTTTTCTGCTCAACCAAGATGGTAAAAACTTATTTAAAGAAAAAAAAAGAAAGCTGAGATTTTCATGTATTCACATGAATCCAGCAGCTAGGGCTTTAAGAACCCACCCAGTATCAGGAGAGCTTGGCAACGCTGTTTTAGATATTGCAGGTCGAAAGATATCAGCTCTAAAGCAGAGGGGAACTGTCCTGTCACCAAATCTTGCATTTAATACTATGTTTTGAGTCTCAGCGTTGTCAGGGGTGTATAGCCCAAGGTGGCAGATAATTGATGCCCCAGCTTTGCCTACACAAGGGCTGTACTGACAATTTGCCAAGCGCATCAGCCTAATCTGCCTAAAAAGGAGAAGACGACATCTGACCCTAATCTTTAACGGAGTCACTGTAGCCTATGGAGATTATCAGACCCAGCTTGGTCTGTGACCTTCTGCTTTGGGATTAAAACCAGAACCCCTGCATTTGGGAAGCGTGGTTCCCACAAGTTGCCCCTCTTTGGCTCCCCTGTACTGCATCACGGGAAATGCAAAAAACTGAAGATACCAGGCCACATCCTGGTGTAATTACACTGACTTCAGTCTTTTGACAGCTGACTTCCAACACGTGCACCCCCCCAGTATATAAGCCAGCGGGACCCGCTGAGAGAGTCCCCCCAACTGTTCACAGCTGGGATGAATTTCCACACCATTGTTTCTATTCTCAGCCTTTGTGCGGTCCCTACTGCAACACTTCGGCAGTTCAACATATTCCAGGATGTACCATACAAGCACCAGCTAGCCTGACCCATCAGTCACTGACACGTACCATAAAAGCACCAGTTAGCCTGACCCATCACTGACATGGCTGCAACAACAGGCTGAGAAGCACAGAGGAGAAACAAAGCTATAAGTTCACTGTCAAACCAGTGCCCGAAGTAAGAGTTTTCTAGCAGTTAAATGCCCCTAAAAGCTTGGGCCAAGAGAGGGGGAAATAGCCTCGCTCACTTTCAGCTCATGTGAAAATAACGTGTCTGAGGTTTAGAGACTGGGTTCATTTTAAAGGAGGTGCATATTCACATGTGATGCACTCAATTCAAATGTTCCCCCCCGCCCATTTCCCTGCAATCCAGCATCCACTCTTAAACATGTGCATAGTTTTAAGCATGCAAAGAAGCTAACACACATGCTTTGCTGGATTGGAGCCTTAAACATTGGTGTTCAGAATAGTTCTCGCTCTATAAAAATCAGACTGGGGAAAATGGTGGTGGTGTTTCTCTTTTTAGCACAGAAGGCTAAGAGAACGAGGAACTTGGTATTAGTTCATTTTCAGATTAGAAAATAACTGGTAAGAATTATTATTATTAAGCAGCTATTATTGTAAATGATGAAGGCTGGTATCAAACCCACAATATCCCACCGGAAGGCTTAAAAAACCCTACTGCATAAACACTGCCTTTCACTGATCAATAAAATGCAGCAACTGGAAACAAAAATATGAATGAAACCATTTTTGTGATCTTGCCCCAGTGGCATACGATGGGCGTTTTGAGTAGCCAGTGAAAGAAGATGGTGAGTTCTAGCTAGAAGTGCTTATGCACAACCATGGCTATGCCCCTGGTCCTGAGCATTTGCAACCATTCATACTCCTTCAGCAGATACTATAGTAACTGTTATGTCTGAGGTATTACCATGTAAGCAGGGGCAGCCTGCTTGCAGCTGTACAAAACTCAGCCATATCTTCATTTTACCCCCAGTGCTCAGGGCAGATAAAAAAAAACATATCAAGAGCACCAAAAACAAACTCAGACCAAAACCAGAGAGACAGAACAAAACCAACTTGCTACGGCCACCGGAGCCCATGTGAAAACCGGCCTCTTATACAGTACAAACTGAGGGTGACATTCGCCCCTTTATCCAGGGCCAGTCCATCTCCTGTGTGTCACTTAAAGTGGATCAGAAGTGCTATGGAGCCTTGAGATGACCCTCTGCATGGGGTGAATTGCATCTCTAAGTAGAGGGTGGGGGGCGAGATGAACCAGTTTCACGGCATCTTGGCTTGAGTGTTTGCTATGAGATTTATGGCCGTGCCTGGCCAATGTTCCCTCTACAGAGTCTATGGGCTTTTGTTTTGATCCTTGTTAAAGTAAAAGAGTTAGTTTCTCATGTATGAAGCAAAGAGCAAAAGAATGCTCCCGTCCTCCTGCCTTTGCTAAGTGTTTTCTGGCTCCTCTTGTCCAATTCTCTCCTGTTGCTGGCAAAGCCACTGCTGCCTCCTTTTGGCCCCGACCCTCTCATCAGCTTCCAACTCTCTTCCCTGTGGTTTCAGTTCGGTTCTCCAGTCACTACCGGCAAGCAGCAACTCAGTTCTAGCTTAGGGAGCCATCAAACTCAATGGCAAAATTCCTGTGGACTTCAGCGGCATGGGATCAGAGCCCGTCGTCGTCTTTCTGGATACAGGGAAATGGCCAGTTCTATTGGCATACAGTCTAGTGGGGCCGACTTAAGGCTATTAGCATACATACTGCACACATGTTTATTGGTTTAAACTAAGCTGAGCCAAGTGAAGATTAGATTTGGGGAGGAGGGAGAAGGTGCATGGGAAAGAGTAAAGCAGAGATCATTTAAAAATACTAGATTCTTAGTTTAGCATCAGTCCACAGGAATATAGGACTGAATAATGGAAAGAATCTCCCGCACATATGCATGTGCATATATGTTTACATGCTGCCTGAGAAGTGCAAAGCTATCTAAGGGATCTGTATGCTCGATTTCTATTAATTCATGTACATAGATGTCTGTATAATGGACACATTATAGAGGCATATATGCATGCAGAGATGGGAAGTGGGCATCCACATTTCTTAGGTAGCTTTATAAATCTCAGCCAGTACATATGCGTGCGTACACACACACACACACACACACACACACAAAATTGTATTTGGCAAAAGAAGTACTGGATTTTACTATCTGGTGGGTAATAAAAGTTTCATCCATTCCAACATTTATAGATTGCACTATAACAGCTAAGTGAGATACCTTAAGCTGCTTACCATAAAGAATAATAATAATAATAATAAAAAAGCTCCTCCAGAAAATGACTTCTTATCCTTCAGTGAATTCTTCTAGGAGACATTTTTGCTTGTGAGACAGCTGCTGAAGTTTGGACTCGGCTGGTCTATGATTTCCCCCACAATCACTCCAGTGGCTAGCAGGGCAACACCCCTCCCTCCCCCCAACATATATTTTCCATCATTCCCATAACATTGCTAAGCTGTTGAATGAGGCGCTCTTGAAAGCGCGGCCTACAGGGCAGGAGATGTTACTTGCCACATCTCTGACTTCTTCACTCTGTTTTTAAGGTTCTGCTTTTCAGGAAGATACAATGCACAGGCAGGAGGGATGGGGTCATCCCTTAAAAAAAATACCCCACCTGATAAAGAGAGTGGGGGCAACCAGATAGAAAACAAATCGATCTGGGGGCGCTCTCTCTCCTCCCCCTCAAGTCCCACGACCTAAACTAGTGTGCCAACCCCCCACTCTACTTTGGTCAGAAGACTACTCAGGTAACGCTATTAACTAAGGCCCTGATCCTGCAATAAGCTCTGTGCAGGCACCGGAGTTTGTGACCCAGATCTTACCTCAGAGATGGTCTGAGGCTTTTCCTGGGAAAGAGGTTGCAGCATTAGAACGATTTACTGAATATTTCCACCTTTGGATGGGCTAACTCTCTCTCCTCAAGGCTGGCTCTGAGAGACAAAACAACCTGATTCTGACTGGGGTCTCCACTGGGCTGGGGGGGGGAAAAGTTGTCTTAAAAAATGCAATTCAGCTTCGATTTGTGACTAAACAAAAGACGTATTTGTTCTTTTTGCAAGATTAATAGAAACAAAATTAATTTCTTTTGCGTCATTCGGTTTTGCATCTCACCTCACCTCTCCTTGTTGCAAACTCTGAGACACCCTCCCTCGCAACAGGGACCAATCTTCCATGTTTGCTCCTCAACAATGCCTCTCATCCTGATGCCAGGATCCCTCACCTGCCCTGCACAGACAGAAGCAAAACCCTGATGCCCAGATCTGTCACCTGCCTTGTAGAGTCAGAAACAAAACCTTGACACCATTTATCACCCACAGGGGTCCCTCCCCACACTCTGCCTGACCTAAAACCATCCAGTACATGCTTTCATTCTGGTTATTGAGTGAAGGGCCCAATTCTGCTCTCACCTGCAATGGGTTTACACCGGCAGCTCCATTCACTTCGGATTTACCTTGGGGAGAGTGCGGGGCCAGGCCCTGCGTGTGAAACTACTGCCATTGATGTGAGGGTTCCAAAAGGACTAGGAAGATCTCAGGTCAGGCCCCCAAGCTGGCATAAGTTGCCAGGTCGACACTGATGTCAATGGTGCTCTATCAATTAACACCAGTTGAAAATCTGGCTCCTTGATGTTCTCTACATCTGTAGGAGCAAAAAATGCCTGTGTATTATGGAAGATTTAAGACGACAAAAATGGTACATTTTTCAGGGCCAGATGCTGATAACTCATGCTGATTAGTGCTTTACTCCACAAATAGTTTCTTTGGCTTCAATGGCACTACTCAATTATTAATATGAGTTGAGGAGTTACGAGAATGTGACTGTTTTACGGTATCAGAATCTGACCCCAGGTTTGTGGTGGCTCTCCAAGTGACTATCTAGCAAACGCATGCTGCCCTACTTGACACCCTTATGGACCTTGAAGAGCCAAGAAAATAAAATCTAAGATTCTAGATAAACTGAACCTGATTAAGGACTCCAGGATGGTTTCACTGGCTCCAGGGATCCTCACTTCCAGTAACACTTCTCTTCTATAATGTGCCTCGAAGAGCCCTGTGTGTTTTGTATGGCAGGTCTTAAAGAGTAAATTACTGCTAGATTTCACTTGCACTCCCTCGGCAGCATCCGACATCAGCACGTTCTTTGTTACGGAGAAGGCCCAATTCATCTCTGTTCAACAACATTCTCTGGCTGCCCCTGGGAATAGTCAGACTAAACTGAGAGGGAAAACTAAAAAAAAAAAAAAGATACATTGGAAATAGCTGCCTGAGAATCACTCTCTTGAAACCACATTGCCATTAAGATGATCCTAATCCTAACAAGGCCTACTACAGATTCCACAACCTCAAAGTCCCATACAAAATAGGAGACTTGAACTGAACCTCTCCACAGGAAGGAAAAGAGGAGATAATCCCATAACAATCTTGAGTTAGACACCAACAATCCAGAATTATTCAAAAACCAAACCTATTTCTTAAGGGATGCAAAAAGAAAGAGGTCCAAACCTCGAAAAGGATGTCCAATTATGCACTTATGGGGCAGACAAATGTCGGTAGCTTAAAGTGGTTTAGGCAGGATCTGCTTACAGAAGCAAGAAAATAAAACTAGTTGCTGTCTTTGGTAAAGTACCTTTCCCATCTGGGTTCTTACAAACACCACTCCGGGAAATCAGGAGATTCTGATTATGAGATGCAAGAACAACAAACTTTCAAATACCACATCAAGATTCTTCATTCTTATTTTTAAAAAACCCTCCTCCTACTTCGACCTGTTATAAAATGATGCATTGATTTAAACCTTCAATCGGGGCAATAAATATTAAGGTTCTAATAAATAGCAACACCGGCATTAGCAGCAACTTGTTGTTATGCCATTAAATCAGCAGCATACAGATCTCCCCAAAATCGCCTATTTCTATAAAGCTAAACCCCTTCATGATAAAACCCAGTTAGAAAACCCCAAGCACCAGCAAAGTAACATACGTGCACTAGCACAGAGTGCGGTGAGAATTTCACACTGAACTAGCTGACTTTTTAGTCAACACAGGCTCAAAAGGCAGCAGGTTTTCACAAGTTTTCATTCACAGCTTTCCAGACTGTGCTCCTCCTACAGGCGGACGTTAGAAAAGCTGCTTGGTTGCTTAAAACAAAAATTGTTTCTGTACGCCAAAAGATAAAATAAAATCAAAATCCCAGTTCTGCACTTCTTCACACAGTTGGATGGACGCCCTATTCTACGCCACATGGACTCTGGGGTTTGAACAGGCACTTTGAAACACAACTTTCACGTTTGACTTGTTAAAGCAATTCAATGCAGCAATTAAAACAAACCACACTATTTTTTTCTAGAAAGCTTTCCACCCAAGGCAGAAAACTGAAAAGGAAAGACGTATTTCTGACAAAACCAAGATCAGCCTGCAGATACTTTGCTCTGGACATTTTTAAAGGTCTCTGCCTACTGGCGACAAGTGAAAAAAGCCACTGCTTCATTAGCTGCTTCTCTTTTTAAAAAAATGTTTGAGAAATCCAGATAGCATATCTAAATATTCATATTGCCTATATACTTGAATTAAAAATATATGGTGAATATATGTGTGCATACAGTACTTATTACATATAGACACGCTAAGTGTGTATCTAGAATATACACACATTCACACCGTATATATTAACCTATATTGCTCAAGTATATATGCTATGTATAGTATATACCCATAAAAACAGAAAACACAGGTATTTATATATGTGTACAATAGATACATACTAGTATTTCTCTGTAAATGCTACATTTATATGACCGTACACACAAACACTCGCACACTTGCACAACAAAAAGGAATCTGCAGCTGAAATCCAATAGAAAAATGACAATAATTAGTCATTGCTACATAGAAATATAAACCTCTGATGTGTGTAACTAAGAAAACAAAGGCCTCCGAGAAATAAGGAAGGAGACTGAGAACTGCTTCTCCCTTGCCCCCTTTTAGAAACAGATGCGCATAAACATTTTGGTGGTTGTTGGATTTTTGTGCAATGGAACCAACATGGGAGCAGGAGAGGAGGAAATGAAGAGGATTCCATGCATGTAAGCTTCAAAAACCCAACTGGATCAGCAACCACAGCTGAATAAAACTCTACAGCAAAAGGGTCAGAGAGAGCCTCACGCAGTTAGGTTCAGCCCTGGTGGGTTAAAGGCAGAGCCATGGTTTTATTGATGCAGAATGCCTGAAGGAATACAGAATCACTCTTACACGCTTTTCTCCCACTCTTCCCTCATATATGTAATGTTAAAGGAATAGTGCAATTCCACTGATCCTTACAGAGACGCAACTGTTACAAGGCTTTAAAAAACAAACAAACCCAACCCTTAAAAAATATGTTTTTTGCACAAAATCAGGTGCTAAAGACTGCAGGGGTGGCAGCAGGGCCAAATGGATGTGGCAATCCAGATCACACCTAAGAAAGGATTCCTTTCCTTACCCCACTCATCCTGAGCATGTTCAGAGTGTCTTGGATTTCCTTGCTCTGCCCCTTGCAGGAGCGTTCTGCAATGCTGGAGGGAAAAGGGGTTTGCAGCAGGGCTCCAAAGCTCACAGCACTGGAGTACGTGGTGTAGTTTGGGATCAGCACTGAGAGGAAGGTACATCCACTTGGATTTCCTCAGGTGCTAAAAGAAAGGGTTTTGTGAAGGGGTTGTTTTTTTTTAAACAAAGCTCTGACATGTTGCTTTAGGTTAGGGGATCCCCCTCCTGTTGCAGCAAGCGTAGCCTGCAGAGTTAATAGCTGTTGTAACATACGAGCAACGCACAGCCCTTGTACCAGCTAGAGATGGGCCAGAGCAGGATCCCAATCTGAACTCTCCCCAAATTTGGATCTGAGGTCCTGGGTCAAGCCAATTAGGGAGATATGCTGAAGCCATGAAGATCCCATTCACATCTTGAACTAGTTCTAGGGTGTTCAAGGCACCATCCTGGCACCAAACCTGGTTGTTTTACTAGTTTCTTAGGGTATGTCTATACTGGTGCTGGAGGTGTTGTTTCCAGCTTGGCTTGACGTACCCACTTTAGCGCTGGTCAAGCTAACATGCTACGAAGAGCAGCAAAGCTGCACAAGCAGCGGACAAGGCTGGCTGCCTTGAGTAAGATCCCGTCGGAAATCCTAGATACATTCTCTGGTGGCAAGTCTGTCCTGCCACTTGCACCACCTTGGCTACACAGCTAATTTTAGCATATTAACTTGATCCGAGTTAGCACAGGTCTGATTCCCCAAGCTGGAAATTACAGCCTAGTTCTCATCATCAGGCTGCAACTTGCCTATTGCACTGGCCCTTCAAAGGCTCCTTAGCTATCACGTCAAATTATCCAGACAGTTGTCAAAACAATCGAGGTTTTCTGGGGTTACAAAGACAAAAAGAGAGGGGAAAAAACAGCTAATCCTATGGCAATTTTAGAGATACTTCACTCAATGTCATAGCACACCATGTGACTTTTCCAGGCTAACGTTTTTATGACAGCATATCGACCTGCCTTGTGAAGAGAGTTTTAAAGCACACCAGAGACATCCGTAAACATCATAAACGTAAGGCCCTCTCCCTCAAAAAAAAAAATTGTCATCTAGAATAGCCTGAGTGTACAGAGTAAATAACAATTATAACAAGATCATTATTTTTCTTTCTGTTAAGGCTCAGTCAAGTTGCTGCTCATTTCAAGTAATCCCTTCATATAAACGTCTTCGTCCTTAGGAAGCAGCAATATCACACGGAGAGGGTAACAAAGGTAATCGCTCTCCAGTGCGTAAACTAATTAATAATAGTTTCCGATAGCTAATACCCTCGATACGCAAAATTTTCTAGACCCACAACATTGCAAAAAAGTCTGCAGCTCTACTGCTCAAAAACCTTGGATGACAAGTAGTACATGGCAGCTTGGATCTCATTCAAGGACCCTGTGCATCGCTAAATAAAACCAGAGTCCCACAAAGGGACACATCCACTTTCCCAATGGATGAAAACCCTACAGCAGCTGTACTGTGAAAAGCAACTAATCAAACCCCATAACCTTCCAACAGCTCAGCGAGACTTCAGTTGGGTCTTGTGGTTTGACATAAGGGCTCTTTAGGCATAGAACAGTTTTGTAGAGCAATTTTAGTCCTTCAGTCGGTGGGATATTAAAAAAAAAATTTAAAACATCACACTACACAACTTGAGATCATGTTTGTGTCTATGCTGCAAAAGAGCATGAGGAAAGCACTTTCTCGAGGAAATATCCAGACACAGGGCGTCTTAACTGTAATTAGCATTAACCCCCAAGTCTAGAGTTACTATAGTTCTCCATGGGGCAGTTGAAAAGCTGCCTAAAGGGAAACCAAAATGTTCTTTTCAAGGCCCCAGACCAGTTCAGTGAAGCACTTAACCCTGAACATGTGCTTAAGTCAGTGGAACGTAAGCAGGGGTTTAAAAGTGAAGCGCGTAACGAAATAGGGATGGTGGACTGAATTAGGGTCTAAAATGGAAAGATATCCATGTTATTGCCTAAAGATGCTCTAGTTCCATTAACTGTTTAACAGATTGATTAAAAAAATCCCCAAAGTATCCTCCATTAACTTTGTAGGCACTGCAACATCAGGGCTAGAGTGAGCTTTCTAATAAACCAAACATCAAGCTCTTAATACCTAGTCCTCCCCAAACCTTGTATAATCTGAATGACACAGTAAGCAGTGTGTGTGTATCTATGTCTGTACACACACGTATGAATATATATCAATCATATGTACTGGTTGGGAACAGATGCCTGGAGAAAATCTGCAAGATGCAGGTCTGTGTAGGTGGTTCTCTCTGAAGTTACACTGGGATTGTAAATCCTCACTAATGCTACAGAATCCACAATTTCTTAATTAAAAAAAAAGTGTGTGGGGAGAGGTAAAACAGGTTAAAAGATGCAAAGGAAATTCAGTTTCCCACATATAAAACAAGATCTCTGAATGTGGCCTTCCTCCTCATAGATCCTGCGTCTCACCAGAGAGCGGGTTGTTGCGGACATACGGCATTTCAGGTGCATTCATTGCAGACTCCTGTGTGATGCTTAGCCTCCCTGCTCTACGCTCACCATCGGCTTTACTCCCGTCCTGACTGTGGGTCAGTTCTGAAGTGGGCTGAAGAAGATGCATGGCACCAGGTAAAATGTTGGGTTACTGAGCTTCGTTCCCACTGGCTCATCGCTTCTTTTGCAAGAGGCTGTCAAAATGTAAGCGGCTCCCGGCGGGATTGCAGGCCATAGGGCTGCCTATTAAAGACCAACATCACTTTCCTCTAAAAGAGCTGGTAACACAGGGATAAGGAACCGGGTCAATGTTTCAGCACATTTCTGTAGAACTCGGTCCCTTTTCTAAATACAAAGCCCTGAGGTCCTGCTTCAAAGCCACTAAGTCAATGAAAAGACTCCCACTGGGTTGGAACCTAGCTTCGCAGCCAAACCAAACCAAGCCAGAACCATGTTTCACCAAAGAAATTACGTAGCAGGTGAAATAAATAGGACCCCAAGGGCATGGGTATCAACATCCCCTGCTTAGGGCAAAAGCATAGCGCTCTTGGCCAACCGTTTTGCTGGATGGCAACACATTCACCAAGAGCCTTGGCCGTAGAAGGACGTGAGTGGTAGAAAGGCAACAGAGCCCTGAGCTACACTGATAAAACCAATGTTGCCTCCATGAAGAGACCTGATTTGAGAAAGCCATGAGCTCAGGACTTTCGGCTGCTTCCTCACCCTCGTGAATAGAGCTGTGGCGGAAAGCATCAGGGGTGCGAAAGTGGCTCAGTAGGAATGGAAGGGAGTGGATTTGAGCGTACATCACTTGCCTCTACTAGGCTGGTTAAGCAAGTGGGACTCATAACAACCATCCTCAATCCCTACATGTTAAGAGTTTAGGGATCGGGGAAAAGGGAAGGGATGGCATGAGATAACAGACATCAGAGAATGGCAAACTTTCTTGGGCTTGGAAGGATGCCTGGACACAATGTTGTAGCAAGAGGATGTTGGGGGACTGTGGAAAATGGAGCTAATATACATAACTTCAACAGCACACAGAGGCCCCCAAAGTACAGATCGGCAGAAGACAGCCCTTAATAAAGAACCATGCTGTAATGTTCTCTGGTCAGCCAATTCTGAATTGCAGAAGGAAAAAAAAATAAATAGTTTATTTCCCACCCTCTCACAACATTGAATTGTGAAGGAAAATAGTATCCAATCTGAACATAGATCATAAGGGATTGTTACCATTTTTATATAGTCTGATGCTAGTAGAAAGATCAATGCAGTTCAACATTTTGTTTTCCTTTTAATTCCACATCTCTTTCATTTATGCTTTTCATGCTCTCTGCTAAAAAAGCAGCGCTTCCCCGTCAGGTGTTGTTTTGAAGCTCTCCCTAAAGCTACTGTGTATGCAATCTGTCTATACCTCTGCATTTCAGTGAGAGGCTGCATCTCTACCTGCAATTCCTTTCACACCAAAAAAGCAGGAAAGCATTTTGCTTTGGAGTCTAATGTCAGGAAACCATCATAACAACTCCCCGCCCTCCCACTTTTAAGAAAGAAAGGGGAAAAAAAAAAAAAAAAGACTTGTTGGAGCTGCCTCTGCTTCTGCTCATCAGTTCACAGTCTCTTGTCATGACGCCTCAATCTCTCTCTCCAGAGTCAGATTTTTCAAGAAATACTGTGAGAAAAGGAATAATAATAAAAAAGCATCTGCAACCAGCTCAGAAGATGTCTAATGCTTTTCAGCTTGACTGACTTGGAGTGCGTTGATTACGCCATTTATATTTTCTTCAGGTACCTGTGGAAAACCAAAGAGAGAGGGAATGTTTCCAGTAAAAGCCACTGAATGAGGACTGTGGAGAGAGGGGCTAGTTAAAGGAGGCAGCACACAAAGCGAACGTGAACCACAGGGAACATCGTATTTACCTTGGGCAGGATACTTGAGCGCCACAGTTAATACAAAACAGATGTTTCCATCTTACATTCTTAGTCTGGTTTTTAGTGGTCTTAGTAACAAACTGCTTTGTCCTATGTGTTACAGCCTGATAGCATGGGATAGCTGGCTCTCAACACTGCTCACAAATGACTAGGCAGTAGATAGTGGGGTTGCACATTGTACTGGGGCTGAGGAAGTCCCAGGAAAAGAAGTAACTCGGTTTTTCTTAGGTTCCGAGTCGGTTGCCCCCACATCCCCTCATGAGTCTTTCCCAGCAGGGACACAGTCAACTGGCAAGGAGAAGAGCGCGTTGGCCGCTCTGTTTTTTTAAAAGCGCTTCCTCTCGGCAATCAACAGTGACTCCACTGGCAGCTGCAGACAACTCTCCTTCTCACCACATGCTTCTTGGCTCTGCCAGATGGAGGAGCAGATGCTGATAGCACCAGCCAACACAGAGGAAGGGGAGAGAGAAAGCAAAGAGAAAAGTGATGGCCCCCTAAGGGGAATGCAGCTGACAACTCGGTCAATGTTCCTACATCACGTCTGGCCAAAGGGGGGTGTAGTGCCTCACTTCAGGCAGCTAACGATACAACTTTCACAGAAAAGCTGGAAAGGGCACGGAGACATAAATGTGGGTACATTTCCAAGAGGGCCTTAGCAGAGTTTTTATTGCTTCTCTCTCACCACAGAGAGGCATGGGGGTTTACGGGCACGGAAAGAGACAATGTCCCTGTCTCAAAGTGTTTGCGCTCTAAAGGCCCAGTCCGGTGCTGACGGATCCTTAAACCTATGGGGAGCCCGGTGAAGTTGCACAGGGTATCTTACAGGATCGGGCCCTAAGCTAACACATGAGAAAATGAGAGATGGCAAACACTAGAGGGAAGAGAAAATGAGGGTAACGGATAGGAACAGGTGAGTGCTTTGGTGAGCAGTACATGTATCTTTGAGGCCTTCACCGTATTTTTTTAGGAGGGGAACTAGTGAAATATTAAATATCCTGTCTAGAACTGGAGGATAATGGCCAGAGTGGGTCTTGCATTGCTTGTTTAGAGCTGGGGAGAGTGGGACTGGAATTAGGTTGCAATGAAATTAGTGGGTAAAAGAGGGGGGAGTGGGGAAGGATGAGAAACCTGCTATAGTCTTTTGAAACTTTCTGGCTTTCCCCAATATCCTTTCAAGGAAATGCTACTCCCCTACTGATGGTGAGGTGAGTTTCTTCCTTTGGTTACAACAAAAGGACACCTCGATTTCTGCAATGTTGTCTACGCTGCTCTTCCAAAATCCTCTTTAAATCAGCCCAGAACCATGCAGCATGGCTAATGGTTTTGCTTTGCACCATTTTCATGCTCTCAGCTTTCCATCCATCTGTGTCCTTGGTTTAAAATTTGCACTCTGACATTTAATGCTGTTCTCCCAACTCCCTTCCCTTCCATCAGGGTTTTTTCCTCTCTCTCTCTTCTTTTTTTTTTTTTAAAAAGAGCACTTGTCATTTTAAATCCTAACTCAAAACCTCTTCCCGCCTCTTCATGCTGCCCCTTGTAATGATCAGATGTGTCGTCTAGTCTTGGAAGGGCGCTGTACTATTTTGTTTTCGCTCCGGACCAGCAGTTGTGAAAGTGTTTATTTCTCCTGTTGACACTGGATGCTCTACGACCTCTACCCCTGTTTGTAACTTTGATCTGGAAGCAAAGTGTTCATCCAGGTCAATACCCTGTTATGGAAGGGTCCCATTATCCTTGCACAGAAATAAGATGAGTTTCTGTGCCACCATGGTTAACGTAAGATACAGCCAAAGTGGTGATTCTACTGTTTCAGGTTAGTTTATGGTCACTGCTCAGCTATCAGCAAGGCGAGAGATCTGCATTTCATGAAATGCACGAAAACCAATGGGAGTGGAGCTCCCAACTCCCTTGGCGCCTTTGAAAACGCCACCCTGTAGATTTTCTTGCCCAATCCCACCGATTCGGGGTATGTCTGCACTACAGTCACAGGGCACGATTGCCTTACATAGACGTACCCAAGCTGCAACAACAGCAGCAACTGCAGCGTAGACATGCCCTTAGTTTAACCCTAGGTGGGTCACAGGCAAGATCTGTAGTGGGATGTTTTCCTTTACACCTCCTTCAAGAAAGTGCTTCATTGTTATGAAAATGCAAATAGATCGTTTCCAGGCTAATTGTCAGAGGTAAAAATGAACAATCAATTCCCCAAGATTTGTTACAATTAAAATTCACATCAGGCAGTTTTCTGTGCAAGGCAGAATCACAAGACGACAGAGCCAGCCCCAATTTTGGCCAGGGGGCTTTGAGGACATGCATTTTGTCTATCTCTTGGCTTAAAAATGAAGAAGTCCACTGAAGCTATGCCAATCATCAACTGAAGAGCCAGGCTCAATTTTTCTACTGGCCAGGAGTACGAACAGTCCCAGTTTGAACAGTCTGCCCCCACGGGCATCAAGGTTTCCATCAGGGTAGCCTTTTTAACCTCTCACCTGGCCTGCCAGAGCTTCACTTGCCTGAACAAGTTTTATAGTTGTAACAAGCCCATCGGTAGGTAGATAAACCCGCTAGGGAACGCAAAATAAAGCCCCAGCTATAGTTCTGTTCAAGGCCCCTTCCTCGGCACTGGCTTTAACACTACGAAGCAGCTTCAAAACAAGAGCAAAGCAATTTACAGCACCTGGTAACAACTGTCAGCAGGCTGGAAGGGTAGAGGGTACGTCCTTTCCCCTGGCAGCTGCCCCTGCAGCAGGTGCTCCTTGGCCTTCCTAGCCCCACCCTAGATCATCGAAGGGATAGGCAGGGCACTTGGGTTCTACTTGTAACCCCTTACATGCCAGAGCTTAGCGAGCACTTTTAAGCCTTATCGCCCCTTCCCAGTGTGATTTTCTCCTCAGGCTCTTTAATTCCAGGAACTGGACAAATACTCCCAGTCGTGTCAGATTCTACAGCTAATGGGAAGAGATACGAGTTGATTTTCTATTAATCTCTCTACACACAGACATTCAGCCACGTATTAACAATTCAAATGACCAAGTTTTCTCCCACTATGGTACGTGGGGGAGAAAAAGGAGCAAGGTCGAACAAGGAACAACCTGCTGTTCTAAAACGTTCTCATTTCTGCCAGGTGCACAGATACCGAGAGACCTTGAAGGGAGGAGGGGGGCAGTTGGGAGAGGACACCAGATGCAATTTAATCCTTGAGAAACATCATCTACACACAGCGGTGCCTGGCCTGGCCGGTGCGAACGTTCGATCTAGGGAGAGGAGGGTCGTCGACATAATGGAGAGCGGGGTCCAAATCTCCCCCTTATAAAGGCTTGTTTCCAAGGAACAAACTCAGAGCTTTACGCACACAGACAAGCTTCAAAGCAACTCAGAACATGGGGTAACAACTGCTAAAGACCTTTCCAGCCTTTGGCAGGCGGAGAGGGGAGATGATTCTCCCTAGGTAGGCTGCCCCTGCAGAGCCAGGAGGTGACAGTAGGATTAGGCAGTTGGTTCATAAATCAGGAAGAGGAGGGAAGGGATGGAAGGAATTAGCTGCTTTTTTTTTCCTATTTCAACTTAATATTTGGTGGAGTCTGGCAGACTGACTGAGGATGAGAGGTGCTCTTGAGGAGAACAACAAATATTTTGGCAAGGCTTTAGAGAGGGATCTTTCCTTGGGACTGAAGAATCCCTGTAGTCGATTGGAGCTGATGTGGGACTCGGATAGCTGTCCAAAACAACAGCCATGTTTGCACAGTTGGAGGACCTCAGAGGCCATCAGTCTCCAGGCCTCAAAGCCCCTGCAACCCTGCAAGCTATCAAAGGAGTTAAAGTGAGAGAAGTAGGGCTGGGAATCAAGGTGAGGCCTTGCCAATCAAAGGCCATCTCAAGCCAGGAGACTCAGTGCTGGATGCCCAGGCCTCTGGAGCTGAGTCAACTTGGTAAGCTTTCCTGTGGCGCAGTAAGGGCTAACTTGCGATAATGCAGCTTGGCAGAGAGTTTTGAGGAGCCAAATGGAACAATTTTCTTTGGTTGAAAAGGGGCTCTGGACAATGTTCTGAAAGAAAACGTTGCAAGGAAAATGAGAGAACACCGACTTATGCTGGCCAGCACGAGCGATCGGTAGACCTCTCTGGGTGGGGAGCGTAAACAGCTGAATTAATCCTGGCCAAGAAAACAAAGCCTCAAGGTGGTTTGAGGGGGCAAGTGGAGAGAGACTTTTAGATGAGGAAATTGCCTGCAGAATCACTGCAATTGCATGGCTGCAAATGGCCAGCAGGTCTACGCTGGTAGTAAAATGTATAATTTAAAGGGTCTTGAAGAAATAGCTGCCTTTGCAATCAGAAGCACTCCACAGCTTTTGCCACATACAGAAAGCATGCACCTGGACCCACAATGACAACCAGGAATGCAGGGCAAAGCTAACAGTATTGACTTTAAAATGGTGTTTTATTGGCTTATCTTATCAGTGTAGTTAATGTTCAAGAAAATAAGCCAAATGTATACAACAATTTGACCTTTGCTATCTGGAATAATGTTTACTTTTACTCTGTACACATACGGCCTGTGGGCTGTAAATGGGTTGTGTCAACTGTGAAAGGCTGAAGTAATTAGTTTTTTAAAAAACCCCTGAATCTGCTCTTTGAGCTTTTACAGGTCAGAAGTCAGGGCTGTGTAATAAGTGTCTGGTGATGTAATGGGAACTGTAATGCAAACAATAAAGGACAGAATTTTAAAAAAATCTCCCAGTCACAGATTTATATTAGCTGAGATTATCACATGGACTGCTGATTTTCTGCCCTGTTGAGGAACCGATCCAAGCCAAACTCCATTCTGGTTGCATCCTGCAGGTGCACCACTATTCAAACTTTGCACACTGCACCTAATTTGTACGTACAATTGTGGTGATTGTGCATGCAGTCACACAACTGTGTGCATGTTTTCTACAAAATCCAACCCTGGATTTTCCCTCCCCACTGTTTGCACAGCTTCAAACAGAAACCAAACGGAGGTGGGTTTTCAAATCTGGCCTCTAAGGTGGCAGATCATGTGGCCCGGGACAGGTAGGAAACGGAGCTTTCGGTTCTTTCTACACTGGCCCAAGGTGGCAGCTTTTTTCACATGAATTTGCAAAAATACAGATGGAAATAAAAGCGGTACAATCTTCCCCACTTAGGACAGTGCATCTGGGCTAACACTGGGCATACAGAGCACAGTGTCCCTAATCTAAACAGAGTCAAGGCTACTGGTTCTCACGGGAAATTCCTGAAAAACACGGTTGACTTGATGCGTTGGTAAACCACACATGCCCTTATGAAGTAGTAGTAAGGTGGTAACAGTCCCACTTTTTCATCACGTCAGAAGTGAGATAAAGATACTGGTCAAACCAGGATAGGCCACCTGCACTAGAAAACATTGCAATGGCTAAAGGAGTGTGTCCTGATTCTTGTCATGCATAGTTTGTCAGGGCTACCCCCAAACTCCTAAATCGCGCCATGTGAGTGGTGCCAGAATGACTGCAAAACTTTGCTCATTGGCTTCCATGGGCCTACTCACAGGCTTAAGATAAAGAACATGCTTTGCTGGGGCCCAAGGGAATGGTCTTAATGACTTGAAAGTGGCTGCTCACGTGAGCAATAATGATTCGCAAGGATTGGGGCCCAAGCCATGGAGTACAAATTCAGCTGGGATAGGCATTTGCAAGTTCAGATGCTTAGGTAAACTTCCTCAGAGGCCTGCACAACTGAGCTGGGATTGCAATATCATCACACTCTCTGGAAGTATTTGGGGGCCAGACCTAGCTGAAACCTGGAAGCAAAAAGCTGCATGAAAAGCAGAACAAACCAAAAATAGGCATTCAAACACTTCAGAGCTTTAGACGATGTTTCTGTCTAAGAAGGGGCAAAGACTGAGAGGGGTAACGTAACTTCCCTTGAAACTCTGTTCCCACTGCGGCACTTCCTGAAGCCCCACAGCTCTACTGTTTCTGTAAATCATGATGGCAGAAGAAGTATTATGGAGCATGATTTTCCAAGAACAGAAGGGATGTCTAGGAGCTACTTTCCCCCCCTCCCCCAGTTTACACAGCCTTATAGCCAGCATCGCAATTTTGTGCTGAAGAACAAAGGCCATTTGTTTGAGTTAGAGTGTGGATGGAAAGGATTCCAATGGTAGGAGACCTTCTCAAGAGTGGACTAAGCAATAAGACACACGCACAATCAGCAAGACAAAGAAAATCACAGCTGGAGGGGCTGTACTATACCAGAATATGCAGAACAAAAGCTTTGGCTTCTCTCCCCCTTTCCTGAGGATGAGCCATCTTAACAGTATCCCAACGTGTACGACACATTACAGGAATTAACCTCCTGCCCGAACCCTCACTACACTTACACCACGTTTGACAAATAGTAGCGGAAACCCAGCTGCAAAGACCCGCGTATCATCTACCTGGCGTGTCAAGTCAGACCCGATTTACAGGAAAATGAGGAGGGCTTTTGGATGCAGGTAATCAGATGATGCAGCACAAGCCCTGGTGTCACTCGTTAAGGAGCGCTTGGGTTGTAGGTCTACGCTGGTCGTAAAATGTATAATTTAAAGGGTCTTGAAGAAATAGCTGCCTTGGCAATCAGAAGCACTCGGCATCTTTTGCCACATACGGAAAGCATGCACCTGGGACCAGAGGGAACTGGGCAAAGACGAGCGAGCACGGCAGAAAGAGAGGTACAAACTACCCTGCGCTCCCCACTACAGGCCACCATCAGCCTCAGCCAGGCTCAAACAACGGACAGTCCTCAAGCTGCTGATGTGCCCTGCTGACCAGCCATGGTAGCCACATCTTAGATGCGGGGGTGCAGCAGGGTGGAAGGGTGAAAATGGACTAGAAATGAGGCACCTCTCATTCTCCCACCCCACACATTCCCACCCCTCTGACACTGACTGGAATTCAATGGTCACTCAGCAGCGGATGAAAATCATCAGGAAGATCATGCTCTAGCAGTCGACAGTCGACAAGACACATTAGAGAGGTTTCGGGCCCCTCCGCACTTGGCTACACCAGGCCCGAGTCACTTTAACAAGCAGTTATAAAGAGAAACGCCAAGGATTTTTTTCTCGTGGGGGGAAAAAAGGACTAGCTCTGCCCTCCTCCCCACTCCTCTGAGCTATTCAGATACTTACCAATGCGTGATCGAACTTAAAAGTACTGATGTAATAGGCTGGGATGTCGGAGGCGGCCAAAGGCTCAGAAATCTGAGCGACAATTCCACATTCATCTAGGGGAAGACAAAGAACAAAAATAACGTTCCCAACAGAGCCCCACCATGGGAAAGCACTTGTAGGTCTGACTAGCCCCTGGTAATGATGCCAAAGGAGATAAGAAACCCACCAGCATTAACCCTGGGGCATAGATGCTGGAGACGGGGTGGGAGGGGCAAAGGGCCATGCCCCCCCGCCAACTTTTGAGAACCTGAACTTGCCAGAAGGGCAATGTGGGGTGAGAGAATGGGGGCCCACACTCCCTTCTTGGCCCTGGGTGAGAGCTGGCATGATGGTGGAGCCCCTGCCCTGCTGATATGACCAGTGCAGCAGCAGGCCAAATGGGAGTGAGTGGAGTTGCGACCCCATGTGCGAGGTCAAATTTGGCCCAATTGGGTTGCTTGGTCCCCTCACTTTTGCAGTCCTTCCAGTGCCACTGCCTGAGGATGATTAAAAGTGAGAAAAGGAATGAGAAATACAGAGGATAATGCAACCGGTATATACAATTCCCTAAACAGCTGCTTCATTCCAACTGCTTGGCCTTCGAATCCCAGGGTTTCCTGTAGGAACCTGGGTTAAGCGTCTGCACTAATATGGCTATTTCATTCGACTGTCTTTTGTGTATTTTCACTTAATCTGGATTCAGACAGCTGCTGAATTACACTGTGGACATATTGTGCCGATTCAAAATACCAGGTTAATACTGAAGGGGTATCTCTCTGCTAACAGGACAAGCTCTGAAAAATGAATGACTAACTCCTCTTGCTAAAGGCAGGGAACTTTTTAGTATGGAACACACTTTAATATATAGACGCTGTCTCATGGATACCTCCCCTGCCCATGGGCTATCATCCAGGCATGACTGCCCTGCCCACTGGCTAGTGCCCATTCACACTGGTGATCATGTAAGGTACCTGTGGCATCTACAGCAATCGCTTACATGCAAAAGTGACATCAGGGAAGTATTTAACCTCTTTTCAGCTGCTTTTAATGAGACTCAACAGCTGGAGTGAGGAGGAACCAGACCCATGTGAACAGCCACCTCTCTACAGGCCTGCAGCGCTCCAAACATCAGCTTGACAACTGTGCTGAAGCAGGAACGTCGTCGGTGCGTCCATCACAGAATGCCACGCCCAAACCTCCAACAATTCCTGTCTTCCCGCTAGCTAGCCTCACCAAAGAATTACAAATTGCAAAATGTTGTAAGCCCTTTATATTGCAACCCCTTTGGGGGTAGAGACCTAGTATCTATTTGGGACGGACAAACCCTGAACAACAAGAACTAAAGAGCAAGCGTGGGTCTGGCAGATGCACATTCTTTGTGAAAGACAACACTGCAGGGCTCAATATTGTCAGTCAAAATGATGGACTCCTGCTGCAGACTCAGGTAGTATTTTTTTCCCTTATAAAAGGGGAGCCCATGTCAATCTTTCGCTTTGCTTCTGTCATTCTACCCATTTCCATTGATTAGGCTGTTTTATCATTTCTTACGTGCTATTTCCCTTCTCATTTTATTCTCCCTGTAGCTTTGTAATTAGCGACCTGCTCAGGGGTGTGTGTGTGTGTGTGTGTGTGTGTGCGCGCACACGCGTAAAAAAACGATACCCTTCGCTTCCGTGTGCAGGCTCTTTCCTCCCCCAAACACACACAGTAGCACAAAGCCCTTTGCTGGCTGGATGAGTATTTACGGCCTGTTTAACAACTCAAGTGAGATGGCAGATGCTTGAAGGGAGAGAAAATAAACTGGGCTCCAAGAGGACACACTTCCCACTAGTAAAAGGCTGTGACCTTGTAGCACCAATAAGAATGGGAGTGACACAGCAGCCCCAGTGCACACCTAATCTCCTCTGCCAAGGCCCTTTGACTGACCCAAGGCCGCCGGTGTGTCTAAATTGCAATCCTAGGGTGTGAATGCAGCTCGAGCAGACGCACTGGAGCTAGCTTGGATCCTGGAGAAGTGAAGCTGTGGCTAGCAGGGATGGCCCACGCTGAACCGCGCTGCCAGGGTGTCACTGCTCCAGGACCGGAGCTAGCTAGATTAAAGGTAGCTCAGGTGTGTCTGCACTAGCTGCAGTCACCCCCAGGACTGCAGTATAGACAGATCCACAGACACAGTGAAGCACCTGGTATCCAGCCGCCATTCCAAGAAATGGTAAACGGAGCTGGAACTCCAGCCTTTCCGTAAGGGAAAGCCTGAGCATCCAACCAATTTGGAGCGCGAATTCTCATCCCCTCTCTTTACCAGCTGGGGCTGCCCTGAATCATACACTAGTCTATCGTTAGCGAAGTCTGCCCTTTCCCAGCGTTTCCTGACGGCTTGCACGGCAGGCACCGCTTTGCGTCGCGGACGGCTGAGGTTTGCCCAGGAAATATTTTGGCACGTCAACACTCGAACCCATAACCAGCATCTTTAAAGCTCCTATCCCCAGTCCTTGGTCCAAAGGCCAGAAGCGGTTTAGGAATGTTTGGTTTGAGATCACTGGAAGGTGGTAACACTAGATCAAAAAGGACATTGCAACTTGGAACCCTTCTCTTCTGACCTACGGAGTGATTGCCTATCAGACAAACACCTATAGCACAATCTCAGCCAATCATTTTCTTCCGGTGTGGAATCAGAACTGAGCAGGGTTGCAGAATTGGGCCCACCTATGCTAAAATGCTCCTGTTCATCTCATGTAGTAAATGGGACTATTCATGGGAGTAAACGCTGCAGGATCAGGCCCTATAAGCAGGAACAACATACTGCATTATTTGCCACACCTCCTCTTTTTCCTATTGGATCAATATAAATCCCAAAAATGTATGCACAGAACATGAATACTCAGAAGTATTTTCAGGGGTCTAATGAGAAACCACTAATGAGATTCAGGCTCCCTCACGGGCCCTTCACTCGGTCTTCCTCCTTCCCTCATTGGCGGCAGATAACACACCATCTGACCTGCCTCTGAGGAGGAGTAAATGCTGGACATCTCTTAGCCCTACTCACATGAACCCTGGATCTGCCACAGTGACTGGTGTTCATGCTGACCTAGTGACCCGGGCACCTTGCTCACTTGAAATCCAAGGATAAGCCACTACTGCATCAAAGCTAACTTCCAGTAGCTCAGAGTGACTCTTTTTTACTTGGTCCTAAGCCCCAAGAACACTTGCTCTAAGCTGACATTACTACCACCAAAAGCCAGTTATTTAAACAAATGGCCAAAATTTTCAAAAGTGACTAGTGATCTTGGGTGCCTTCATCTCTGGGTGCCCAACTTGAGACATTTTTAAAGGACCAAGTTTTTTTAAAGGGCACATTTTCTGAAAGGCAGGCCCCTTTAAAAGATCTCAAGTTGGACAATTCACCCAAAATAACAGGTTACTTCTGAAAAGCTTGGGCACTTTCTCCACGCTCTTTCTGCCAGATACACTTTGTAAAAGCCACGGTGATTTTAAAATGGGATGAGCTAAGAGGGAATTTAGGACCACAATTCTGCTCTCACAACTTGTGAGAATCTGTACTAAATCCACTGAAGCCACGCAATTGGCCTGGATTTACACTGGTGAAAGTCAGAGTAATATCTGTCTCCTGGTCTCACTAATGGATTTCTAAAATGGACCGAGCCAGCCTAGGCTTTTTCTGTTTCACAATGACATGAAAGCTCGTTGGCCAATATTTTTGAAACCAGGGGCCTAAATTTAGCTAACTCCATAGTCCAGCAATTCAACCTGGTGGGGGGGGAGGGCGCAACAAGAGATACCGGATACACAGCCCATTTGAAAATCAGACCATTCATCCTTGGGTTTAGTTGGAACTAAACTATTTTTTAAAATCTTGTTCCTCAACTCCACAATAGGCTGAAGACTCTTAAAAAACAGGCTTAGTCAATGCAACTGTTTTCCCTCCTCCTCATCAATCTCTACGTGGGAACGGCTATATTTGCACCCAATTGATTCTCCGACTGTTTACATACCAAAGCCAAGTGGCTGCCCGCCAATCCGAACCATCTTCCAGAGTTCTCCAGATGCACTTGTAAACAACAAATTATTAGGAAACCTATAAGAAAAAAAGTGAAAGTGAAAGTCTGCAATTAAAAGTACAGTAAAAGCTGTTTTATCCAGCATGTTAGGGCAATGGGGTGTGCTGGTAAGTGAAAAATGCTGGTTAATTAAGAGGGAGGGGGTTGGGGTATGAGAGGGAGTGCGAGGGAGGGTGTTGGGGTGTGGGAGGTCAGATCCAGGGGACTGCTTACCTCGGGGGGCTCCCTGCAAGTGGTGACACGTCATGGCTACTCCTAAGCGGAGGCGCGGCAGGTGGCTCTGCGTGCTGCCTCCGCCCGCAGCCACCACCCCCGCAGCTCCCATTGGCCGTGGTTCCCAGCCAATGGGAGCTGCATTGCTAGCACTTGGGAGGAGGGGGCGGGGGCAGCGCACAGAGCCACTTGCCGCACCTCCGCCTAGGAGCAGCCGGGACAGGTTGCTGCCTGCGGGGAGCTGCCCGAGGTGAGCAGCTCCCAGATCCGGCACCACGGATGCCCTCCCGCACAAAAACTCGCTCCCAGAGCCCACGCTCAATATCCCCTGCTGGCCCCGTGCCAGCTGGACTATAAACTGGTATTTCAGTGAAGATGAGAAATGCTCGTTTATAGAGCTTTCCGGTTGGTGAAGTGCCGGATAAAACAGCTTTTACTGTAGAGGTAACTTAAACGCCCCTTGCACCAAAATGATGGAAGGGCTCTTCCAGGTCTATAACTAGGCCTGGAAGGATTCAGCTTTTATTGCTAAATGTCGATTTCACCATACACACGCAAACGGATGTAAAACTATTTCCACCGATGATAATTACAGACAGGCAAAATACGAAAAAATGCTGCTTGAGTTTGATTGAAGTTTACTTTGTTCATTTTGATACATGACATTGACAATTTGTGTTTTAAAGGTTATAAAGCTTTTAACTTTTTGAATCTCAACATCTACTGTCATTAAATAGTTATTGTCTGACACAATTATCTGACAATTTTTGCAACTGTGAACGTTTAAATCAATAAAAAATGCTTAAATCACATAATTGTGTGAATCTCTGAAAATTTAAATCAATACAAATAAAAAATGTTTAAAAATAAACATTGATATTACCTGTCAAAATTATAATATATATATATATGGAATTTTGCCATAGCCCTGCCCGGCTTGAAATGGATAAGGAGCAGCAGGATTAAAAAACTGATGAGGCAAAACAAGGCAATTGGTACAGATGAAGCTAGCTTCAGGTTTTCTACTGTAAACATTACTCTGAATCGAGAAAGCCGTGTATGTGAGCAAGAGAGAGAACGCGCATGGAAACGTGGGAGGAGTCACAGAAGGGGCTTTCTGAAAAAAATTCTGCTCCCCAAATACCCAAATCTAGGGACTGTTAGTTCAAGGGCCCTAGCTGACACATGGAACCACCTGGAGAGAGAAGCTGCCCTCGCTCTGTCCATCTTAGGTATTTAGATGGCCCCCAGGAGGTGTCTGAGCACTTCAGTCTTCAGCGTGTTTATCCTCACAATGCCCAGCGACGTAAGGAAGTGCTATTATTGCCAGTTTACAGATGGGGAACTGAGACACAGAGAGATGAAGTGACTTGACCATGGTCACACTGAAAGTCTGTGGCAGAGGAGGGAATTGTGCCCAGGTCCCCAGAGTCACAAGTTAGAATCACAGAATATAGAACAGAATATCAGGGTTGGAAGGGACCTCAGGAGGTCATCTAGTCCAACCCCCTGCTCAAAGCAGGACCAATCCTCAAATCCCTAAGGATTGAGCTCACAACCCTGGGTTTAGCAGGCCAATGCTCAAACCACTGAGCTATCCCTCCCCTGGTGCCCAACTATCCTTCCTCCCTTTAGGAGCTCGATTCTGCCAGGCACAGAAGGCTTTTAGTCAGGAGAAGCTTCCCCAGGAGGCAACTAGCACCCCGCAGAATCAGGCCCTAAGGCAGTCATGACTCACATCAGACATGGCCTTGTAGGTCGTGATCAATACCTCAAACTGCTTCTGGATTCAACATCTGGTGCAGCCTTTAGCCCCTCAGCCCTTTAAGAGTTGTGTGCTCTCATCTGGGACTGGAAGTTGGAGAATAATACAAACATTACAGGATAGTATTTTTATTGGAGTCAGCTTGTTGGCTTGCAGGACAAATGTGTTCTGAGCTGCTGCTGCATGGGCAAGATGCAGGGCATTACCATGACAATGAGACACAGCACTGACTAACTACATGTGAAAGTGATGCCAGAAGATGGTGTCATTTAAAGCAGCCTGCATTCTGCTCCTATTCTTTGGGAATCTTGAACCTCCTCCCTGAGACTTTCTTGTCTGCACAAGTTCAACCTGCAAATGATGGGCTAACACTTTCCAAAGCACCTAAGAGACTTAAGAGCTTAAGTCCCATTTTCAATTAAATCTGATTGACTTTCAGTGAGACTTTCAGGCTCCCAAGTGCCTTCATCGCTTTTGAAAATGGGAGTCATGTAGGTGGCTTCTGAAAAATTTGCTTGTGGTCTTTTGGGGTCCAGATGAGCCCTGTGCCGAAGTCAGTCGTGGGCCTCACCTCTGCTGTGTCTGTACATCCATCACCAAGGAGATGTAACCCTCAATGAGAGAGAAGGAGAAAAAGCGAATGTGTCCAGAGTCTTCACTGCCCACCACCGTGTCTTTTACTCTGAAGAAACAAGACAAAACAGAATTAACACCAGCCAGCAGTGTATTGGAAACCCTAACCTTTCAAAGAGGACCCAGCCACTGAAATCAGAAGCAGTTCATGCATTCATCTTATTCTGAGAGAGCGAGTTGTGTCTAGTTTTTGTGCTTTTCCCTCCCTTCGCCCCGGGGCAAAAATTTTATATGGACTAACACTCTCGTTCCTGCCACAAACACGTGCTAATTTTATCAGGTGCATTTTGAGAAGAAGAGTTCTATTTTTAGGTCCAACTTTTCCTAGAATTGGCCCGCTTTTTGGCAGAGAAATCTGATGCCATTCAAGCCTAGCTTGCAAGGTGTTAATGGGTGGTAGCAATGCAATGCTGTCGCACTGCAATATGCCCACACGAGCTCATGGCATGAGCTAGTCCTGCTGGTTTAAATGTTTAAAGCCACCTAAATAGGAAGCAGATGTCCATTAATGGGAATTGGGCATCCTAATCTCCCCCGGGCCTTTGAAAAATCTCAACCGACGGTTGCACCCTCAAGAAGCCCACACTATACAGGATGCATTTTATATTGCACAGCGCCAGCCCTGGATTCCTGCCAGTCTTGAAGAGAGCAATGCATATTTGTATGTTCACACATGCTTGTCCAGATGGGTGTTGTGTGCCCCTGGTGTAAACGTACCCATTGGAGTAAAACATGACATCCATTAGGAGTGTAGCAACAGTTGGAAGGGTATCTGGATCCAGGCTGGTGACACAGAACATATTACTTGGACTGGAAAGAGGATGGATAACTGGCCTCTGAACTGAAAGAGAGAGACACACACACACAGATATAAAGCCGAGTTGATATCAAGGTCACATCCGCTCAGATACTGTTGTTATCCTCAGTGCCATAGACCAGACTTCCAGTCTTTGTAAGATCAACAGGATGACCCTCAGGAAGGGGAGGACACAGTCTTCTTGGTGGAAGGCCCTTGGCTGCTGCATTGCCTACCACTAGAAAACAGGGTAAGCTGCGTTACAGGTAAGGCCCAAAGATAGCTGCTTTCTTCAGTCAGGCATCCCCTAGTAATGGGACATCAACAAGGTCCTGGCAATATTCCTCTTTGAAGACAGCCATTGAGAGTAATCAGTTACCAGGGTTAGGGAGCAGGGGGAGAAGGACAAGGTCCTCTGAATATTAACATTCTCCTCCTAATTGATACATGGAGCCTAAATGCTACAGTGGTGGGCACATGGGAAAGAAGTGGGGACTTCTGGTCAGTGTGTGAATTTCGTCAGTTACAGGAATCTCAAATTGCAAGATGGATAGCAAGGGCTTTCTAGCGCTGTGGGACTATTTAGATGATGATATAATATCACTAGATCATCAATATTCATTTGCTCAGCATCATGACTCAGTCAGCTACACCCCAGGCTAACCGATCTCTCAGTGTGGCCCAGACACCACTAGAAGGTGAGAGAGCGCCACACAGAGTGGGTGTGGGCTACATAAGCCCTGTGTAAGTGCTTCCTATTGTATGAGGCACCAGGACAGTCCCCTTCCCTAAGGCACATACTGTCTATCAGATGGATTCAAATGAGGTAAGAGGCAGGCAGAGGTGGTGGCAACTGAAAATGG